TAGTTGCATTGTCTTAATGAATAGAATGATTTGTTCTAATGGTGTTTGTAAATAGGATCACAAGTCCGCATCTTGTATAGCAATTAACCACTAAGAAGAATATATGCACTGTATTATTTGTTGAAACTGTACTTCTGATTTGATTTGAAACTGTCTCATTGCTATCTGTTTATCAATAAAACTGTAGAAAAAAAAAGAAAAAAAATAAAGAAATCTGTAAGATTAAAAAAAAAACTTAATTCTTGCTTTTAGGTCTCAGAGATCTAAGTCAATCTAGTGCTTATAAATGCTTACAAACTCAGTGAGTGGTTTTTCTGGGCTACTTCTGATTCTCTCTTTTTTAATGTATTTGGCACAAGGTCTCACTGCTCAGGTCAGGCTCGTAGTGATCCTCCTGTTTTCAGCCTCCCCAGTGCTGAGATTACAGGCATGCACCACCACACCCAGTCTCACTGGCTGGCTCAGCATGCCTGGGGGCAGGGATGGTGCGGCCTGTGGTGCCAGGGATTGAATCCTGGTCCCTGCGCTTGCCTAAGCAGGTACTTGAGCTATCTTGCCAGCCCTTTTTTGTTTGTTTGCTTTAATTTTTTTGACTCCAGTATTTTGTTCCATCATTCCTATCTTTTGATTGGAAATATGGTTAATTTCCATATTTTCCAAGGGTAGATATCAGTGTTGGAGCTAAGCCACTAAATTGGTAGTCACTTGCAGCAGGCTTGCCTATCTTAAGTTTTTATATTTCCTTTAAGTCAAGGTTGTCTGTTGGCCCAAGATGCATTAACACATTTTCTAAGAACCAGAAAGTAGATGAGAGACAGCTGGCTCCAAGTGTGGCCTCTCCTTCCATTTCAGCTCTTATTTTCTCAGTCCTGGGGGAAGCATGGATTGGGGTGGACACTGGCATCACTGGCTTAACCTCAGAGAATCCTCTAGAAAGATCTGATAACTAGAAGCTTTAAGGGGAACCAGGAGAGGATTACCAATGGTGGAAGCTGTTTCTGCCAAAGTTGGGAGGACTTCAACAGCTGAAAGAGAAAAGCCAACAGACTCACATCAGTGCAGGCGAGCATCAATAAAATGCCATAAGTGAGAGGGTGCACAAGTCCTTGTCAGTGCCAGTGTGGTAGGTCAGAGCTTCCTGATATGATGACACTGTCACAGAAAGAACAGGCAGTGAGACAGTGTCTTTTCCTTTCCTGGGAGACCCTGATTTACTTATGCTCAGTGGAAGCATTTCTCTGACCCTTACCAGGAAGTGTCACTGGTGGTCATTCAGGAGATTTGAGGCTACAAAATAGGGTGCCATTTCATTCAGAGGTATTCTCCCTAGATGTCATGGAACATTAAATGTTCAGATTTTAAAAACTGACTGAAAGAGTAGACTAGAAATAGCCTCTCCCTCTTGTCACCTTTGCTCCAGGGAGAGCCTCGCCTTTGCCTGGCCTTCTGAGGAGGTTATGGTGGCCTTGAGCTGTGGTGAGGTCCTGCAATGGAGCAGGAGCCACAGATTTTCATTGTATACAGTTTCTTAGTAACAACAAGGAACAAAATGGATTAAAACTTAATTTATACTTTCGAGTGGTCCTGACTTAGGCAATTAGCAATTAAAAGAGTATTCAGACAATGTAGCTTTCTTGGAGAAATTTCACTGAGAGAAACTTCTGAACTTGACATGCACAAAAAAATTATTCCTGAAAGTTACAACTGCCCAGAGTAGGACACAGCTTTCTGATTCTAGATATGTGTGTGTGCTTCCAGGATCTCCTTTCCTCTTAGGCACAGAGAAACAGGCTGTAATTCTGGGCAGGGCACTCTCCTGGTACCAGAGTGACAAATGCCTAAACAGTTCCCAGGATGTTGGACTTGGAGTACTAAAGACAGGACAGTCCCAGGCAAAGCAAGAAAAGGCAGACACCTGACCTGAGACCCCAAACCAATTTAGAGTTGACCTGCATGGTTGGGAGGGGACCCAGGCACAGCAGCATTCATGAAGGTACCTGAGCAGATGGCCCCGGCATCCTCATGATGCCCACAGTTGTGCACTGACAGGCCGAGGTGGAGGCACTTGCCCAGGTTGGTCTCTTCACCCGTACACTGCACGTCATCTAGGAAGATAGGGCCAGAGCCATCGCCAAACAGGCTGCCCCTAGGGGCTGCCATAGCTGTCCCACAGCCCAGTTGCTGGCACACAACCTGGGCAGCAGGCAGGTCCCAGAGGTCATCACACACAGACCCCCAGGTCCCATTGTGGTGGAGCTCCACGCGGCCCTCACATCGGTTCTTGCCATCAGCCAGCCTCACCTCTGGCAGATCTGCAGGAGCCAAAATTTAAGTCTGCATGAGAAGCTTCCTTCAAAGTGACATCAGGCAGTGCCCCAAGCTAGAGAAGTCCACCCTGGAGGGAATCCTGCTGTTGGGGTAGTACATGCCTATCTAGATAGGGAGGTGCTATGCTGGAGCTCAGGACCAGCTATAACTGCTGTGTGCACCTGAAATTTAGCACGGACTCTCTAGTGCCTCTCTGCATTGGACAGTCTCACGGGGAATGATGGCCCCGTGTTGGCTTGTGCAAGATCCACTTAAAAATAGCACTCTTGAACCCTCTTTTGGTTGTTGTTTTTCATGCTGTTTATCTAAAAATTCAAAACAATGCTGCCCAATGCTTAAAACTCAGACTGTAGTTTTAAGGTAGTATGTCAAAGAACATCATGAGATTCTCAGAACAAAATTAATTTAGCTTTACTTGAATTGAGAAAAGTGTGAATTATTTCTTTGGGAATGATGCATGTGTTTGAGGGTTGGAAAACCCAGCAGAGAAAGATAGAGCATTTCTGCTATAAATAAGTAAGGACTTGACTGCGTACATATTTTGGATCTTTTGAATCCAAACCAGATTAAGTTGCTTTTCAGGGTCTGAATTCCAAGATTGGTGCTGATTCATGGGGTCTCTTTTTGAAAGGGGCTACAAGAGTACAAGCTGGAGCTTGGCTGTGGTACTGGCCTTTGGATGCTATTATGGTTTTTGTCTCAGTGTCTTTCCAAAGCATCATGCAGTCATGGGACAGCTTCTAGAGTTTGTCATTAATTCATGATCCAATGCTGATATTATGAGTGTGAGCACTACCCTCACCCTGGGGCAGATAGACTGAATATAGTATAAGGAATGGAGAGAGGCAGCTGCTGCAGCTCCTCCCTTTGCCCTTTGCTGTTTTCCATGAACTGCTGCCCTCTGCCATATCCACTCTGCCTTGGAGCCAGCTGAGTATGGACTGAAACCTCCACTAACTGTGAGCTAAGTAAACGTCTCCTTCCTTAATTTTGGGTGTTGGGTATTTTGGCCCAGCAACAAGAGAACAGTAACTGAGACAGATACTGTGTCCAAAGTGGGTGGGTGAGTTGGCTCTATCCTTGAAGAGATCACCACACTAGAAGAATCCATTCCATGAGATTCTGTGACACCTTGGCCTCTAATGAACACAGCTACTTTTCCATGCAGCGCCAGGGCCACATGGATAATTCTAGTACACTTCAATTGTTCACAATGACCAGACCCCAGCCTCAGAAAAAGCCACCAAATGGAAGAATGAAAGAAGTACCTATTGGAATGAAAACATGTGGATGCTCTCCAGGAGTTGAAGCAACTATATACGTAAAGAAGAAAAATAGACACATAAGTATAGTCTGAGCAAACACAATGAAATTCCATATTTTTCTCAAACACCATCTAAATTACATAGGTGAGCTTACTTTAAAAAGCCCCATCCACCCTCTATCAAATAGTTACATTTAAAATACAATGGTAGCTCATGAATGTGTGCACATTATTTTGATTTAGAGGGAGACAGATCTTTTGCAAATGGGAAGGGAATGGGAAGATGGAGGAGGGAGGGAAGAAAGGGAAAATTTAAAATATGTTATGTACATGTAGCAGCTCCTCATGATGAATGTAGTCATTATGTACTGAAAAATATACTAATGGAAATTAAAAACAAATAAATACCTTTGATTATACTCTAAAAAATTAAATAAAATTCACGTTAGGATGGTGAATGCATGGCCCTATAGAGAGTTGATGGAAACTGGAGGAGATGAGATGGGATCTAATTGGAGAAAGTGGGTCCAGGAGACAGTATTCTTAGGGACATCTTGTCCCCAGCTCCTTCCTATTACTCTTGGTCTCTGCTTCCTGGCTGGCTTGAGGTGAGCAGCTTTCCTCCTGCACAGTGATGTTTCAGCCTCACCCCAGATCCACAGCAATGGAACCATGGACTGAGACCTCTGAAACTGCAGACTAAAACAAACTTTTCCTCCTTTAAGTGGCTATTCTCAGGTATTTTGTGACAATAATGGAAAGCTGACTAACACACCAATTCTTGAATCTCACAGCCCTTTCTTCTTACTACCTTCTAATCTCAGATTTTCTAAGTGAACTCAGACATTCCTAGCCCTTCCAGGAGCCGACATTTGTAGGACCAGCCTGAGATGATGGAGGAGGGTGGGAGCAGACGGTGTGTCCAGCAGCGATGCTTCTCCCCACAACGCTGTCATACTTCTGAGCTCAAACTCTACAGTGGGAAGGAAACTGAAGAGTGCAGAAAAGATTACCTGCTGATGTGGGCACCTCCGTAGGCTTTGGAAAAGATTCTGAGAATGGACAGAAAGCAAAAGAAGAAAATTATACTTTCCATTCAAGTGTTAAAACAAGGTTAACCCTTCGTAATCACATTTAACCCTTAGTTAATTGTCTCTTGTAGAGAGTCAAAGGCTCTCCATATTTGCTATCGTTTTCAGATAGTCTGATTCTAACTTGAATTCCTTTCCAGGTCTTTGCAGGATGCATTCTTTTTATCCTCCAGCTGGTGTGTGAATGATAAATATAAGCCAACATAAGCTCAGGAGAAACAAATGCTGGTGATTAAAAGGCCTTTCTTTCTTTCTTTCTTTCTTTCTTTCTTTCTTTCTTTCTGTTTTTTCTTTCTTTCTGACAGGGTCTCACTGTGTACTTATGGCTGTCCTTGAGGTCACTATATATTCCAGGCTGGCCTTGAACTCACAGTGATCCTCCTGCCTCCGCCTCCCAAGATCTGTGATTACAGGGATGTGTCACCATGCCTGTATGATCTCTCTGTCTCTGTCTCTCTTAAAAATGTATTTTACAGTCAAGAGAGCCTCCTTTAGAGATCTGTGCTACGAATAATAATGTATTCTGGTTATTTCTCTGAAAGACTGGGGTCACTTCTTTCTCCTAGTTCTACACATTTGACTTTTCCCTTAAAGACCTGCTATGGAAGAGTTGCTGACTAAATTTAAAGTGTAACAATCACTGGGTCAAAAAGGAGCCAGGAGCAAACTAAAAAGCATTGTTTTCAGCTTCTCCATTCCTAACCATTATTAAGTAGACTTGCTTTGAATCACTAATGTACAATGCCCTGTTTTCAGAAGAAACTGCACCCCACCTGGGTTCCAAGAATGGCCTTGAGTTACGCTGGGTAGAAAGCATTAGGTGGGACATAACTCCCCATAGTGCTCAGGTGTTCAGTGAGGTCAGAAGATAACCTCTAAGCAGCATGCCCTACTGCTTAAGCAAGCATTCCCTCAGCCTTCTGCACAAGAAAGTCAGTCCCCATCCTCTTCAGCCTCATCCACTGGGGGAAAATGAGGCTGAACTACTGTAGTTCAGAGATTTACTACAGGACTCTAGACTGGTGAGTGATGAAGACATGGCATTTGAACCCTGAACCATAGCCCTACTGCCCAGAGTGACGTTGCCAAGGCAAGCTTAAAGCTGATCAGTTAAGAAGAACTAAAATTACCTGAGGTTGAATAACTCACAGCTGCTGCTGATGTTGGGTAAGCCAGAGAGTCTGCGAAAGAAATAGAAGTATGGGAAAGTTGTCTCCATTCTTTTTAAACTCCAGAAGTAGGCTTATTTGAAACAGAAAAGTACAATGTCTTATTTGGGAAGAACCTGCACTGCCATCTAAGACTGGCGTTGAATTGCTGTGGTTATAATCACTGAGGTTGTGCATCACTGGGCTCATTTCGATCCTCCTGCCAGGCACTGTAACACTGCAATGTCATTTTCTATCTAGCCAGGTTTGGTTTTCCAATCTCTCTCTCTCTCTCTCTCTCTCTCTCTCTCTCTCTCTCTCTCTCTCTCCTGCCTCCAAGAATAAATGTCTATCTGTAAAGAATAGAACCAAATTATCTCAAGGACACACATAAGCACATAAGTGACCTCAGTTCAGGGAGGGTGTAGAAAGATCCTGAGTGGGCTATGGAGCTGGGCTAGGGTTCCAGGTAGAGATTAAATAGAACTTGGAGATGTTGATGCTGCTCCATGGCTCCTGCAGGTGTCTCTGATCTACCCATGCTAGGGAGGGCCCTATATGCCACACCTCTTGGCCCTTTAATCCCTATCCCTGTTTGTGAGTCACACTTGGTTTGTGGCTTTCAGCTCCTGCTTCAATCAGAACATCAATTCTGCCCCTTGACTTCTTTCTTCTCAGAACCGTCTGGCACCTCCACCTTCCATGTGCTTTTATCTTATCCTACCTAACCACTAGACCATTTTCCTCTCCCCAGAAGGATGTAGAGATAGGTGTGGACTCTTGACTGCAACTATTGAATTTACTTGGAGAAACCCAACTGGGTTAAAACTGGGGGATAAGAGCCCTGGATAGGACCTGGGCTCCTGGCTATTAGGAAAATTCATGGTGTTACCTACCAAAGGGGAACTGAACAAAAGAGGTGATTCCAAGACTTGTGACTCATTGCTGGTTGGGCTGAGCTAACTTAAGGTTGAGCACCTCCTGTCTTGAGACTTGCATATTTATTGTATTACAGTTTGGAATTCCCTTTAGTTCTATTCTGAATAATGGTATTTTCAAAAAGGCATGGATATGAATTGATTAGATTAGAAAATTTGTTGTTTATTTTTTAAAATATTCTAAGCATAGTTTTATTTCTTTTTTTTTTTGTATTGTTATTGGGTGCAGGTGGTCCTGGCTCTCTATTTTTAAGGGTAAAGTTCTCAAATTTCCTTCTAAAAGGAATTTATATAAGAAACGCAACAGTCAGTTTAAAGGAGAGTATTATGATGATTACAGTGTGGGTAACAGGTGGGGATGCAGGGCTCTGAATGGCTGAAATATGAGGGATAGTGGTCTAGGAACTGTCTAGGTCCTTTGCTTCTCTGTGACAAGTTGGCCAAGAGGCTCCTGAAGTCAGAACGCTTGGGCTTAGAACCAAGACTCACCTGAACAGATGACACCGGCATCCTCATGGTGGCCACAGTTGTGGGTGAACCAGCCATTGTGCAGGCACTGCCACAGCTTGGCTTCTGTCCCCAAGCACTCCACGTCGTCCAGGGCAATGGGGCCCTCTCCTCTCTCAAAATGTGCCCGGCCAAGAGCTGCCACAGCCCTGCCACAGCCCAGCTGCCTGCACACCACCTGGGCATCATGGAGGTCCCAGCTATCATCACACACTGTGCCCCACGTATGGTTGTAGTGCAGCTCCACACGGCCCTCGCAGTGGTGGCTGCCATTGGTCAGCCTGAGGGCCACATCTGGGGAAGAAAGACTCTTCTTTCAGCATTCTGGGGGTGCACTTTGCCACTGGTGACTCTACTCACTTCTGGGGGCTCTACCCTCATGCGTGGGGAGAGAACCCACGACTTCAAGCTGGGTGCAAAAGCACTTTGGGTTTGCCCTATTACAGTGATGTGATTGGAGGGAGGGATATTTTAAAATTTATTTCCCATACTAGATTAATTGTTTCCTTCATGAAGGTCAAAGAGGACCCTTGTAATCCTTGTATCAAGTAACAATCACCAAGTATTTCAATACTATTGCTCTTCTTAGTGTGGAATAGTACTTTTTCCCACTTTTTTTTATATTTAGTACAGGGTCTACAGGGTCTCACTGCATAGATCAGACACATAGTGATCCACCTGTTTTCAGCCTCCCAAGAGCTGGGATTATAGGTGCACATCACCATGCCTAGTCTCTCCCACATGGTTTTGAATAAAACAAGATCCATGAATAGGGTAAATGAGTATCCTTTCTCAGCACAGTGTTGTGCCTCTAATAATGAGAAGCTGTATGAGGACATGGTATTCCAGAGCAGTGCTGGTGTCAACCAGCTTCACAAAGACAGAACATGTACGTGTGGGAAGGCCCATTCAGGTCAGTGGTGCCCAGTAGTCTAAGCCATCCAGCTTTACCATCATTGCCAAGTAGTGACTGGAGGACCTACCTGTGCCATTCTCATCTTGCACCAGGGACTCATAAGATGCGTAGAAACCAACGTTGGTGAGGATTTCATCACTACGGAACACCACGGTCATTCGGTTTGATGAGGAGGTAAATATTGGGGTTCCCATGGAACAGAACCTTCCCAGCAAAAAAGGCTCACTTGGTGGGCCATCAAAGATTTCAATGAAGTCATATGGACAGCTATAGAAACTTTCCAACCTGTGAAGTGAAAAGGTATCATTCAAACTTTACCTATTTCAGCTTAACCCCTCAGTCAACACTGGCCCAGATTGGTTCAGGAAGGGCTGGTAAAACTACACAGAGAACTACAGCTTAAAAGAAGAGATAATGCTAATGACACTGGGAAAATATACCCTCCTGTTTCTAAATATGTTTTCAATTTTAAAGTCAGTATTGTTTTCTGAATATGTGCTATAAGCACAGGGGAGAGAAATTGGATTGATAGTATTTGGTAAAAAGTAAAACAAACAAACAAACAACCCAAAACTTTTCTTGTCCCTGATTTGTTTTCCCTTACTTCACTCTCCTGTCCAGAAGCAGATTCAATGAACAGTTTCTTTTTATTTCCTTCCAGAGACTCTATGCAAAAATGGCACCAGATTGCACTCTTGTTCATGGTTTTCCTGCAGCTCTCTCTGGATGCAAGAGAATCTATCCAACTGATCCCATCCTGATGGATAGGTAGATCATTTCCACTCTATTGCTACCCCATGAAGGTGGTTATGATGACCCTTAGTGTCCATGAGAATTTATCTGTGGACCAAATTCCTGGACTGGAATTGCTAGGTTAAAATACCTGTGCACTTCAAGTTTGGATCAATACTGTAATGAGTTATCAGGACGAGCTCACTCTTAAAAATTAAACATGGAGGTATTTGGGGAAGGACAGAGGAAGGAAAGCAATAAAACTGGCAAGCATAATTGAGTGAAGACAATGTTGCAAGTGGGGGACATTTACTCACTTGACCACTTCAAACGTAAGCTTGACACGAGCCCTTTCATCCACTTGTATGTCCCAGGTACATTCAATATTTGTGGGGTACCTTTTAGGGTAAAAAGGACTGGTGAAAGTTCCTGAACGGTTTGTGAGCAGACCGCCACAATGAACATCTTCATCTGTAAGAAGCAGTGAACAAACTCCATCAGAGAGGGGCTGCCGACCTCTCCTGGTGACTTCGGGGAGGTCAAGAAGGGATGCAAGGTGAACAAAAAAGGAGAATGTGTTGCTGGGATGTTTTGGCTGACCACTAAAAAAGTGCGCTTTGGGGGGTTTCCTATTAACATGCTGTTGGGCAGATGAAGTTCACTGCATATTTTTTGTGAAGAGAAAGTTATGATGCCGTTGAAAGGGCCCTGTAAACACCCATGCACAAATAGGTAAACATACACAAAACAGCGAAAGAAAGGAGGAAGTGCCAAGAAAATACAAGCTGCAGTGCCTTTTCTTAGTAGGGCGGGTTATAAAACACTTATACAGAAGATCCATAGTTATATTAGCTAAAATAAGTAGTTAGGAGGTCATTAAGCTGATTCCATACTCTGCGATCTTAATAAGAAAACTGAAACTCAACTCAGTGTAACGCTGCTAATCCCCAGCTAGGGACATTCCACTGAAATGATCCAAAGGAGGCCACTGCATCTTGACTGATACTCAACCATCAAGTTATTTATTTGTTTGTGCCTTGCTTTGTCTCCAAGTCCATTCTAACAAAGCCCTCCCTCTTGCCACTCAATGGAGCCCAAACCACTCCACTTTGGAGCTGCTCAGTTCAAAACTGCTATCTGCTCAAACATATTTCCTTAACATTTGGACAATTATTTACAAATTCTAGCTGAAATTAAGACCATGATTGCTTAAAGCATCCAACTGTGGCTGAAATGTTGGCTATGGCTGGGATTTGTCAAACAGCCTCACTGCAGCAGCTTTCGTATATGAGGAAGAAAGTCTATCCAGTAGTTACTGGATGAACTAAAATTAATGATAAAGCACATGCAAAACTACATACAGAGCAAACATAAAGCTGAAATACCTGTGAGTGAACTGTCATCAGTGATGCCTGAAAATATACCGAAAAAATAATACCATGAACAAGGACTTCTTCTATCCACAATACTCCTTGAAAATACTCAAAACACTGGTCTCCAAAGCTCGGCTTTCATTGTGTACAAGGGACAGTGATGATGTGGCTCCCCAGGAGTTGGGATATTGCACAGCAGGTGTGCACGTGGGTGCCCCTCCGTACAGCTCGCTGAGGGTTGACCTGCGATTTGTATTTCCTTGTTCCCTGCAGCATCTCAGAGCATGATCATTGTTTCAAGCAGATAGCCTTCTCCACAGATGATACTGACCCAGGGCGTCTGGGCAGCTGAGAGAGTGAACCCGCCTTCCTACTTCTATGCCCACCCTCAGTTGCCCCTTAGTTCACCATGCTGTCAATCCCAGTGGGCTGCACCGCTCTTGTTCATTAACAACAGAGAATTTAGCTGGACCATGCCCCAACTTCAGATTTGAGCAGTAGCCAGAATTCATGTACATCCTGCAACTGATTGAACTGTGTAGAAAAACTGTACCTTTTGGTTCTCCATTTTTATTGCCATCAACACCTGTTCAAAGTCAGAATGAGAGATGGACTGAGTTAATTCATGAGAAAACTCAGATACTCTGTTCAAGACCAAACCTATTTTACTCTGGGCAGCTAGGAAACTATGTAGTACCACAACTCATCACACCTGACTCCTGACACTTAGTTAGTACTCCTGACACTTTGTTCTTGGTAGCCTAAGTGGAACACAGTGTTTACTTGCTTTCGGTCAGTTACTAGGCTAACCAAGCTTTTGTAGCAGAGTTGAGCTCAGTCTTTAAGTAGGACTTCAGTGAAGCAATACTTAGGGAGCCCTGACCTGAGTGTGGTCTTGGATGAGCTTCAGCTGCCTTGTCAGTGAAGGGTGAAAGTTAACAGGTTCTAGTTTTACTAGAGGTTGTAAAGATTAAATAAGAATAGGAAGGCACCAGTTGTTAGGGTCGGCCAAATAGCTCAGTGGATTAAAGCGCCAGCAAGCAGGAACAGGGGCCAGGGGTTCAATCCCTGGGCCTGCCATGCCTGCCCTGCCCCCAGGGTGTGCTGGGACTGCAATTGAGACTGGGCATGGTGGCGCACACCTCTAATCCCAGCACTTGGAAGGCTGTAAACAGGAGAATTACTATGAGTCCAATCTAGCAGTGAGACCCTGAACACCCTGTAGTACAGAAAAAAAAACAAAAAAAAAAAAAAAAAAAAAAAAAAAAAAAAAAAAAGGAATGCACTAGTTGTGGCATACAGTTGAAAAGCATTATGTCAAGCCCCAGTTGTTCTTCCTATTTAAAAGAGTAGATTGTTTACTAACACCGTGGCATTGCATTCCAGGAATAGGATATCTGATAATACTAGTCCTCTACTGAATCACCACACTTTCTAAGTAGGACCTGAACATTTTACAATCTAAAGGAAAAGAAATTAACACTTAATCATATTACCTTAAAACGCTGACTCAAAGCCCAGTGATCTCACTGAGAAGCTGCACGCTGGCCTTCACATCTCCCTTCCTAGGAACTGCCGGTGGGTGAGTTTCTCTCTACCTGAAGCATGCTGTGTGCCCGCAAGTGCTTACCTGAGCAGATGGCACTGGCATCCTCATGGTGCCCACAGTTGTGGGAAAACCACCCTTTGTGTGTGCACTGCCACAGCTTAGCCTCGTTCCCAGTACACTGCAGGTCATCCAACATGATGAGACCAGTACCTCCATCAAAGTAGCTGTGAGCTGGGGCTGATAGGGCCTCACCACAGTCAAGCTGCTGGCATACCACCCTGGCATCTGGCAGGTCCCAGTTGTCATCGCACACTGTGCCCCAGGTGCCATTATAGGAAACCTCCACCCGGCCCTCACACCTGTGACTGCCATTCACCAGTCGCAGGGACATACCTAGGAGACAGGAAAAGGGGGACTTCTGAGATTTGGAGTTATCCTCAATCTCTGAGACCCTCTGCAGGTTGGAAATGTTTTTTCCCCTTGGGCACATCTTCCCCCTTCTAGACCCCTGTGTCCCAATTTGCCTGGAACTGTCCTGGGTTATGACTGTTGAAGATCAATTAATACTGTTCAGTATTTCTAAGTCTCTCTTAAACTCTCAGGAGCATCCCAGCTGGAGGATACTTCACACAGTCACTCTAAGCATAAGGCACTCAGAGCTCTGAAATGTTCCTTAGACTGCTACAGAATCCAAGAGGTCTGTAAGTGTTCAAGGTGGGCTGATTTGAGATAGTTTTGCTCTAGAATGATTTTTCCTAATGCATTTTCCTTTCATCTAGAGGAAGATACTTTCTCTTGGTCCCCTGCTGACACACAGCTGCCAGTGCAAGATAGAAGACTTTAGCCATTTACTTTCAGGATACTCTTGGGAAGACGATGACAATGGGAAGGAGAGCAGGGATGAGGGTTGGGACAGGTGGCTACAGTGCTGTTAATGGGGATGCCAGCAGTGAAGGCGGACCTGGGTGGTCAGATTTAGAGACTCCTCTCAAGGAAGGAGGACATGCGTTAGACACAGCCTCTGCCTAAGGCAGCGTCAGGGTACCCACCACTGTCCCGCTCCTCTTGCTGCACGGTGTTGTACAGGGCATAAAACCCTGTGTTGGTGATCATGGCATCACTTCTGAACACTGCAGTCATGACGTTCGAAGAGGAGAGGAAGGTGAGCTCTGTCCCGGTACAAAACCTGCCCATGGAGAGCGAGGCAGCTTGCTGTCCATCAAACACTTCCACAAAGTCATAGGGGCACCCATAGATGTCCTCTAGTCTGAGGAGATGATGAAGGCAATGTTAGCATCCCCAGAGAAACCCATGCAGTCATCCCTGCCTCCTCCTTCCACCTGCACCTTCCTCTAGTCACTAGATTTTCTTGGACTGAGGTGTCCGCCCTCCCACCCCTCCTTTCTGGGGCTTCCTCCATCTATTAGACTTCTGTCTCTCATCTATTTCAGCAACTCCCACCTGGTGGCCTTGCTTTCAGGCTCTCCTACTCTATTCTCTACCTTGAGTTTTCCTGACTATACAAATATGTCCACTCCCTATAGTGATGGTAAATGTCCAGATTCTCACTGAGAAAACCTTAAGAAAAACATAAGAAGGGAGAAATAATGACAACTATAAAAAGCTCCAGGGCCTGTTAAATAGACTATTTTGCCAATATCCCAGCATGCCTGGTTCAAGCCAACTGTTTTCATGAAATGTTTTACCCAACCTGGATGATCAAAGAAGTTGTCCTAGCATTCTAACTTTACTTTTTATCTTAACCACCATAAATATATATATTATTTTTTCCTTCAGACCACTTATTATTTTATCACAACTTGAAGTTTCCCACTGAGTTATTGATTTATTTGGATACTATTTGTCTTTCAGAATGCTCACTCAAGAGGGTAGAGGCATTGTTCATCTTATTTGGTACAAGAGGCCTGTCCCTAGACCAGGGCCCACAAGCTCAATAAATAAATGCTGAAAGCAAATCAACATTTTTGTGCTACCAATGTGAAATATGCACATTTGCACATAAGCAGCAATAAGCAACCTTTAGTGCCTATGTAGGTTTTCATTGTGCAATATACAGAAAATCAATGGGCAAAATTACATGTTTCACATACATAAAGTCACTGGATGGAAAAAACTGTTATTGAAGAAAACATCTATTCCAGCAAATCAAAAGCCAAAATTCTAAAATTAACCCATTGAAAACATTTAATAAGTCATAATAAAATTTGTGCATAAGTTGATAACAGGGTGGCAGTAACAAATGGGAAGTTAAAAGGGGAACTACCTCTGAAGAATGCCTGAGCAGACAGTCCTAGTAGGCTTCCTAAGTGACTTCAACCTTGCTTTATTGTCAAATACTGTAAGCAAAAATTAACTTGAGATATTTATGATAAATCCTTCATTTGAAAAGAGAGACAACATAAGCCCAACCAGAAAGTCAGTAAACTTATGCTTACAGACTAAATACCTTCCAAAGGAACAAACCAAATAAAGCAACTGCATAATTTCAACCACACAAATATTTTCTTTGTCTTATTCCTGTGTGTCCCTGGAAATTTTCCCCTTGTAGGCCCTTGGAGGAGGTCTTAAATTACTTCTAGTAGTAACTGCTTAATTTATGAATCCTTATGTGCTGTGAAAGTTCCTTAAAATTGGGGCCCTCTGGGAAGCTGGTGAAGTGGTGAGCAGCAGAGAGAGAGCCTCTTGAGATTTGGTGTTCAGGCACTGGAATATAGCAATGTGATGAAGAGAAGGAGTGTGGTGTGTTCCCAGGAAATAGGAAGGATCTGAATATTTAAAACCCTCAGGGAGAGTGAAGAGAGAGACTTTAACAAAGAAGAAGGAGGTGGCAGGTGGTGCTTTCTTCCTGAGCCCTGACTCACTGTGTGGGAGGGGTAGCTCAAATCTGCAGACCCCCAGTGACTACCAACAACCTCAACAGGCCTCCACAGAAAATGCAACCTGGATGGTTAGAGAAGCTGTCCAGTGGATTGCAGCACTGGATGCAGCAGATGGCAGTGGCTGGTGAGTTATTGAGTTCAGACATCCTCCAGAGATGATGACTGGCTGGTAGCCATCTTGGAGAGAGGACAAATGAACTCAGAATTCAGAACAGCTGTGAGATCCATCAAGCAGCTCCCACTGGCAGGGTTGGGGAGCCATGTTCAAACTGGCAGGACTGCTGCAGGCTGAGAAAATCTGGTTCAGACCTCACAGACGGAAACAAGCCTAAACTACAGTAGAACTAAAAAGTGCAGGCTTACAGGATGGTCCATCACCCTGCTCTAAAGCTACAGCAGGCTTGCTAGAATCAATCAGCTTGCATCTCGTATCTGATCATATGTCTACCAGTAACAGCAGAAACACACCTTGTAATGAACTTTTTCCCCCTCATTTTCTTTATCTTTTTTTCATTTTTCTCCCTTATTTTATTTTTTTGGTATTGCTTTGTACTTTTTTCTTGATTTTTCTTGTTTTATATGAGTGTGAACATAATTTCTAGGATTTTTTTGTTCTGTTCTTGTTTTTATTTCTTTTTTCTGTCCCTCCTGTTTTCTTCACTAGTTCCCAAAAATTTGTGCAATCTTCCTTTGTCCTCCAGCCTTATTTCTACTCTCTTTCTCTTATAATTCTCTATTCCCAACCCCTTTAAGATTTTTCTCTCTTATGAGTAAAATCACCATAGTGAACTTATTTATTGCACACAATTTTCTGGTTTATTTTAGGTTTTGTTATATAACCAAAAATCTAGTTCATATGGTTAAAGGTGGCAAATTAATAGTTAGTTCTGTTTGTCATTTTCTAGGCTGTCTTTGATGCTATTGTTATTGCTGATTATAGTACTTTAGCCAAAGTGACATAATTTTTCTAACCAATTGTTCTTTCTGGTATGCCAAGACTGAGATTACTTATAATATAAAAAATACTATAGGATAGTGCCAAAGACCCAGGGGCTAGGCCAAGCAGGTAGCAACTTCTCATTCCCAATAAATTGAAGATGTAGGTTCTTACAGCAGAGTTAGAAACCAAAAGCCATCTATACCTAGAAGATACCTCTGAGAAGTAGTCATTTCCTAATGGTTTTAGATACTACCAGTGAAGCTACTCACCATAAGCACTATTGTTTTCATTTTTGTGGAACTGGGGGTTGAACTCAGGCCCTTGCACTTGCCAGATAAGTGCTTAGTCTACTGAGCCATCTCCTTGGCCTCACCATAAGCAATTTATAAGCATCAACCAACTAAAAGAATAGAAAATGAGAACACTTAAACAAGAAACAATCCAAGACTTTCAGCTTATCAAAGGCAAAGCCAGGGGTAAATGACATAGAACAATCCAAAAGTTACCCACTCAGACTCTCTGAAGTGGTAACAGCAGAAGTAACAAAACAGATGAAAGAGGTTCTAGAAAAAGTCAATCAGAAATAATTTCTCAGATAATTGCAGAGATGATGATTATAGTGAAAGACATGCTTAGAGACTGTAGAGGAGATACATATAAAACATAGAGGAGTTTAGGAAAATGATGGAACCAGGAGCTTAGGAAATGAGCATGGGAAATAAACAGAATCCATGAAACAAGTCAAATAGGTATCCAGGAGCTTAAAAATCCCATTGAAAGTAGGCACACAAAAAAAGAAAGTATGCACATCAGAATGAACCAATGTGAGGACAGAATTTCAGATATAGAACATAAGGTTTTGGTTATCATGAAAAAAAAATTTAAAATATACCAAGGAACAACAAGAAATAAATCCAGCTGCTGCTAGATGACGTAAAGAAGAATAATACAAGATTGATCAGAAAATGAAAAAATTAGAAGATAGTGCAAATGACATAAAAAAATTGTTCATAAAAGTCATGGCAGAAGACTTTTCCTGGTAGGGAAAAAGAATTTGACATAGAGATAAGTGAGGCACATAGAACTCCAAATAGCTATGATAAAAAGATCTATATCAAGATATATAATAGTCAAGATTCCAGAAATTCAATGTAAGTACAGAATATTAAAAGCTATTAGAGAAAAGAAACAAATCACCTAGAAAGGAAAGCCCATCAAAATTACAGTGGACTGAGGAACACAAACTCTCAAGTCAAGGAGAGTGTGGAGTGAAGTATTTCAAGCCCTAAAAGAAAACAACCTGCAACCCAGATTGATGTACCTTACAAAATTATCTTTCAAAATTGGAGAAGAAATAAGATAATTTCATAACAAAGGACACCTGAGGAAAGATATGACCACAAACCCAGCACTACAAAACATTCTGAAGGATATTCCAAAAAGAATAACAAGGATTTCAACTCCTTGAACCCAAACAGAATGAATCTACCAGGCAAGGAAAATAATTTTAAAAAGGGAGAAAGGGGAACCAACAACAGGAAAATAATATGACAAGGATAAGTCAATATATATCAGTCATAACCACAAAGGTTAGTGGACTCAGTTTTCCAATCAAAATAAACTGGAAGAATGGACCAAAAGTCAACATCCAAGAATATGTTGCATGCAAGAAACACATTTCATTAAAAAATATTTACTGAAATTCAAAGAATGGACAACAATATTTTATGCAACGGGGACCTGGAGAAAAGCAGGTATAGCTATTCTTTGCAGATGAAGTAGATTTCAAGCCAAGGCTGATTAAGGGAGACAAAGGAGGTCACTACAACATTGTAAAGGAAATAATACAAGAGGAAGAGATAACAATTATAAATATACATGCATCAAGTATCAGTGTACCCAGCTGTGTAAAACAAAATTCATGGGCAAGAAAAATTATGTAATCATTGATAATATTGTGATAGGGGACTCTAAAACCCCAGTATCACAAATATGACAAATCAACCAGACAAAATAACAACAAAATATTAGAACTGAACCAAACTTTTGAATAAATGAATTTAGTAGAGGTCTCAGAGTGTTCCACCCCACAACATCAGAATACACATTCTTCTTAGTGGCACATGGAACATTCTCCAAAACAGAAAACATACTAGCTCAGAGAATAGGCTTAAATAAATGCAAAGGAATTAGAATTATCCCATGCATATTATCAGACCATAGTGCTATGAATTGGGGAATCAACAGCAGCAGAAACCACAATAATTTCATAAATACCTGGAAATTAAATAGCGTCCTCATAAGCAACCAATGGGTTGCAGATGAAATTAAAGAGGTAATTAGACAGTTTCTACAATTCAACAATAATGCCAGTATGTAATGATTGATTGATTATATCAACTTGAGAAGTTTAGAAGCTTAATTAAATCATCTCAGCAATTTTACACATTAGGGTGTAGAGGACCCACCCTGAGGCAGTGACTCTACACCCTAGAGCTCAGGAGACCCACTGTAGAGTAGCAGGATGATGGGACTGAGATAGGACCAACTGGCATTTGTTTCTTGGAGGGGATCCTATCTTTGCCTTCAGCTTGGACATTGTCTCCTAGCCTCTGGTACAGACTCTTCAGCTGTTGTCGTAGACTCCAGCCTTCTAGCACAGACTTCTTGGCTTTGCATCCTTCCTGCCATGGATCCTTCAGCCTTCCACTGTAAACTCTTCAGCTTTCCAGTCTAGACCTTTCAGCCTTCTGGCAAAGACCTTTCTGCCTCCTGACATGGACTTGCAGATACTTTAGTGAACTCCAGACCTTGGACTACACTAGTAAAAGTTTTACTTACATTATGTTTTTCAAAAAAAGTACTCATGTATACAGATGTATTATATACGAACATACACATTTCCATGCAGGTAGGCTTTGGCTTCTGAGGATTCAACTGACTATGGACACAAAATATTTGAAAAAAATTACATCTATATTAGATGTGTACAGAATCTATTGTCATTATGCCCCTAAAATACAGTGTAATTACTTATACAATATTTACCTTGTATGAGATACTTATATATATATATATATATATATATATATATATATATATATACAAGATAGTTAAGATAGTTTATTTATTTATTTAATTTTGGTACAGGGTCTTGCTATGCAGTTTGGGCTTGTAGTGATCCTCCTGTATCAGCCTCCCCAGCACTGGGATGACAGGTGTGCACCACCATGCCCGGTTTCAGGCCAGCACAGTGTGCCCAGGGTTTTGGGGCTGGTCCAGCATGCAGTACTGGGGATCAAACTCAAGATTTTGCTCTTGCCAAGCAGGTGCTTAGGCCTCTGAGCTATCTCCACAGCCCTGCAGAGATAGTTACACTACTTTCTCTTAATTCATTGAAAATAAAGGTTGGTGATAATATAGTTTGGACAATTAAATGCCTATACGTTGTACTCTGAGGAAGTGACTTGAAGATAACAAAATATGCAACATATTAATCATTGTTACTGTCTTATTATCTTGTTTTTAAATTTTTTTTCTTTTTCAAAAAATCAGCAACAATTTAAAGGATACAGGAGGATATGAATAGGTTTTACACAAATACTGTGGCATTTTCTATAAGGGACTCATGTATCATGAATTTTGCTAGCCACGGGGCTCCTGGAACCAATCCCACGTGGATACAAAGGGATGACTGTGTATTTATGTACTTAAGTGTGAGTTGAAATAAAACAAGCTCCTTTAAAATAAGAGATAGTTCAAGAAAGAAGTAGGATGCATAAAGTGCATCTTGGGAGAGGTGAACAAACTGTTTAATATGCTAAGAAAAATTCTGGTAGGTTCATGACAGAAATTGTTGGAGAGAGCTGGGGATATAGCTCAGTGGCACAAGCACCTGCCTGGCAATAACAAGGTCCTGAGCTTGATCCCTGGTACAAAAAGGAAAAAAAAAAAGAAATTCTTGGAGAGAGAAGGAAGTGGATTTCCTTTGCATTTCATCTGAGGGAAAAAGGAGCAAATAATATGAATGATGAAGAACAGACTCAGATTCAGCAGGAGGAAAAAGCTTGCATCTCAGATGGAGCTGGCTGAGGTAGGGGTGAGATCTTCACATGTGGGCCACCTCAGCTGGGCTCTATGGCCTGGTGTCTAGATGACGCTGGGTTATTCTCTTATTGCACAAGAAATGAAGCTAAAGGTCTGAAGGACTCGCACAGCTTGAATGGCCAGACCTAGTCTCACCTAAAACTGAAAGAATTTGTCCCAGGCCTTTCCTACCCTGACCTTTAGAGTAGAAAAAGGCCCCATAATCTCCTTGATCAGAAAATTTGGGACACCACTGAGTTACAGGATGTTACAGTACAGGTTTTCTTATGTCGTGAGTCCTCACTGACCTTGAAGGACTAGGGCCAAAATGTTGGCCATCCTTGTAGCCCTTCTTTTTGTCTAATTTTTGGTCTACAAACTTAAGTTGTTAATGCTCCAGAGGAGAAGTGTAATGATATTATTACCCTACAACATAGACTGTTGAGCTTAACCTCACTATCTGTCTGAATATCAAACGCCTTAGATATAACATGGAAGGTATTTTCTGTCAATTGTTGATATGCTAAACTTTAAATTCATCCAGAATATGAAAAAAAATAAATAGTAAAAAAGAAATAAACAATCACAAATTTTTATACAGAAATTTAGAAATCTGACCACGTACAACATTGCAGCAGGACAGTCCTATGACATTTTAATCTTGTCTCTTGTTTTCATTTATTACCTTTTTAAAAAACAAATATTTACTCGAGAGAGTGATCAATGATGTAGAGTGTGCCTAAGGAGAGTCACATGGAGAGAAAACATTCTCTCAGGATTTCACAGAGAGCAAATTGGTCAAGCAATGGTCATGACTCATCCCCACGGTTGACACTGACAAAGGATCTGCAAACTGCAGTACAGGGTTTCAGGATAAATCCTGAGGGGATTTGACTGACCTTGGCAGATACAAAAGTTACATTTCTTGTTATATAGGTCTTGCTGTATCTTGGTCTTAACCACCCAGCAGAAAAGTATAAAAATGAAGTATAAAAAGTAAAGCCTTATTAATATGCTGAGCTGTAAAGGGCTCAAGTCAACAACTTCCTGACATTGCCAGTCATGCAGATAACCCACTACTATTATAGACTACTGGACTATATTGCATTACTTTGCTGAATATACCTACAATATACAAATGGCAATGGAATCTTTGACAAAAGTAAACAAAAAAGGCAGATATAAATGAAGATCCATTTGATAGTGAAAATATATATATATATATCTGTATATACAAAATAGTTAGCATAGATATTCAGCTACTTTGTCTTAGTTCAATGAGAAGAAAGTTTTGAACTAATAGTGTTTAGACAAGATATCATGTCTGCATCTTGTACTATGAATAACTACTACGAAGACAACATGCAATGTATTAATTATTGTAAATGTCCTACTAACATTTTAAAACTGTCTTATTTCTACTTCTTTCTCAATAAAATTAGCATATTAAAGAAATAAACAAAGTAGAAAAAGGCAAAGCTGCTTACTTCAGGCTTGGGATTGTCAGTTTTATGTGGAACTTCTCAGCCACGTGGATCACCCAGACACACTCCACATCTGTGGGGTAGTTTGTAGGATATCGAGGGCTGGAGAAGGAGCCCGAGAGACTTGAAATTAATCCTCCACAAGAGTCACTTCCTCCTGTGAGAGCAAACGAGAGACCTGTGTTTGGTTTTTTTAACCCTGAACCTTGCATTTTTTTCTATGTAGAACCAAGAATTCCAAGTTCAACAGTGTAATCATAAGTTTGGAAAGGACTCTGATGATCAGGACATGGTTGCAGCCTGGCTGATGTGCGAAGCTTTTCTACTAAGAGAAGAGATAGAAGATATCTAACACTGATTGTAGGTGAGACTGGAAATGGCTTGGACAGCTGTATGTAGCATGTATTGGGTGATGTCCAACCTACACTTCTTTAATACTTTTCCCTGTTACAAAACCCAGCTCAACTCAGAGATGAACAAACCACCTGATTGTGAGAGTTCCAGCATACCTTTTCTTTCCCTCATGGTAGGACAGACTGAAGTTTATTCTGCTTTTATGAACTAACCAAGTGACTCCACTCAATATTTTATAGGTCATAATTTCAGCAGAGAGGTTTACCTTGCAGCCCATGGTCTTGAGGAATGAAAGCTATAGAGAATCAGAGAAAATCAGAAGAGAGCTTAGTATCATAAAATCATCTTATATTTAATTACAAGTGAACGCACATATTACTACCTCTCAGTTTTAGTACATAGTGCTGACATACTCATTTCTCTTTGCTCCCTGATATGGGGTGTATCTCTCTCCTTTCAGTGGACTCCACAGACTATCACAGACAGAACATAGCTACATAACTTATTTTTTGGTATTAGTTTTCCATGAAACTGAGGGCTTTCCCAAGACTGACCAGTCACTAGGAATTACCCATAGAAATGTCACTAGGCTTATCAGCATGTCACTATGCCTTAAAAGTTTATCCAGTGCCAGAATCCAGAAGATAAAACACAGAAATATTAGAGCCAGGAAGTAAGGATAGGCTGGACAGACAACCTGCTGAAGAAATCTGGGCCTCATTAGATGGCTCCAGTGCATGTTCAAGGTTCTTTCTCTTTCATGTTTTCTGTTGGATTGGATTGCTATGTGTCATACACTTCAGTATTAAATATCCCATATCCTTAATCCCCAACATATGGCCCACTGAGAGCAGGCCAGTTTTGATGGCCTGTTTATTGAAATCCTGGTACCCACTCGAATTTTACATGAAGGATTTAGTAAGGGAAGAGTTGCCAACAGCTAGGTCAGGTGGTTTGAAAATTCTTTTAGCCTCATTGTCTCAATCCTCAGCCAGCTCTGCTGGAAGGTGATAGATAGTGTTTATTTGCCTGTTCTTCTTGTCCATGGCCAAAGACAATATTGGATATCAGCTGCAAAAATTCTAACCCAAGTGTCTCAGGAACAACTTTCTTTTGTTAAAATGTTTGATATACATATACTAATATCCTCAGAGAATTAAATGGAAAGTGCCCTAGTTTTTCATTTGTAAGGGGCACATCATGCTCTATCAGTGAGTGGGTTACTGGATTAACACTTGGAACAGGAAACTTTAGACACAGAAGATTTCATTTCCTGCAATAGCTCCTTCAGTCCCCTGGTCTATTCTCTTCTCTATCCAACTATGCATCTGTGCCTCAGAAAAAAGTTATATTACAGTAGGGAGGAAGAGAAAAACTTTCTACAGGCTGAAAACTTAGGACCCAAGAGGACTTGAACATAGAGTCAGCTGATGAGCTGAAAGTTATGTCTGCTGTTGACTGGCCATGCCTTCCTCCTCCCTGGACCAGGCTATGATGGATTCCTCACTGAGAAAGAAGAGAAAGCCACAGGGACTCACAGGGATCTTGGCCACTTGTTAGACTCTAAAAAAGTTTCTGGGTGCCCTGCCTCCCCACCCAGGGCTGCTATGTAATTTGTGGGCATTGGGAAAAATGAAAATGTGGGGCATTAACCAGGGGTACATACATCATTCTCCCCTTCCCACAGTCTACTGTGCCACTTCATGGCTGTTGACAGTCCTCAAGGAATGGTTCTGTCTGTAATGTACCCATAACTTGGATCAGGATGGGCAAGAGACCCTCACTAGGTTTTGATCAAATATGCAGTGGTGCTGCCAGCCCAGGGTAGGGACAGCTTCCAGGGCTCATGGTGAGTTCTGGAACATCACAAAGTGTACCCTTTGACTTTGATATCTTTCTGTTGCCCAGATCCCCACTAGGGACAATGGGTTGAAACAAGAGTTAGGCAGTGTTGGGGAGGAGCTATGCCCCACAGGTCAAGGGCAGGGAAGAGGGCAGCTGAGAACCCATCTCGGGAAGCAGAAGGAGGTAGGAGGCAGGACCACATATGGGGTGGATTTAGGTTTAGATTAGTGTTCCTCATCAATGTTGAGTGGGTTCTGTGAGGTCTATTCTGCTGTGTTGGCTAAATCAAAAGGCTCAAATGAGAATGTAGAGAAAACATTCTCTCAGGCTTTCACAGAAAGCACATTGGCCAAGCAATGATCATGACTCATCCACATGGCTGACACTGGCAAAGGTTATACAATCTGAGGTACAGGATCTCAGGATAAATCCTGAGGAGATTTCACTGACCTTATCAGATTCAAAAGCTACAACTCCTGTTGCATAGGTCTTGCTTTATCTTGGTCTTAACCACCCAGCAGAAAAGTATAAAAAAAAAGTATAAGAAGTAAAGCCATGGTCTTATGTTGAGCTGTAGGGGGCTCAGATCAATAATTTCTGACACTGCCAGTCAAGCAGAAGACCCAATACTATTATGGGCTACTGGACTCTTTTAGAATATTTTGCTGAGTTAACACACCTATAATATTCAAATGATGGAACTAAACAAAAAAGGGCATACAGATGAATGTCCATTTTGTATCTGTGTATTCAAAGTGGTTAGGATAGATATATAGTTACATTCTCTTAATGAATAGAGGGATTTGTTCTAATAGAGTTTGTAAATAGGATATCATGTCTGCATCTTGTTTAGCAATTAACCACTAGGAAGAGAGTATGCAATGTGTTAATTATTGAAACTGTCCTACCAATTTGGTTTGAAACTGTCTCATTGCTATTTGTTTCTCAATAAAATTATGGAAAAAAATAAATAAACATTCATGTTCATATACCAAAAACAAAACAAAACAAAACCAAATTGGTTTAATTCTTACAAGTCTTCTCTTGACCCATAGTCTGACACTAAATCCATCTTTGCTTATTAGCATGCTTCATTTTCTTTCTTTTTAAGAAATGTGTGTATGTATGTATGTATGTATTTGTTTGGTACAGGGTCTCATTATGCAGCTTAGATTCATAGTGATCCTCCTGCCTCAGCCTTTCCAGTGCTGAGATTACAGGTGTGTGCCACCACACCTGGTTTGCCCAGGTTTCCAGGGCCAGCACAGCATGTGGTTCCAGGGATCAAACGTGGGTCCTTGAGCTTGCCAGGCAGGCGCTTAGACCACCAAGCTATCTCCTCAGTCCTGCTTTCATTTTCTAGCTCATATTCTTGTGGTACAAGTCTCTCCACCTTCTCTCCTCATATCAAACCCTATTTTCACTTAATGCCATTTGGGAAATGTGACTCTTATCCCCTTGGCTGGACCACTGTTTTGTAGCCTGGCTGCGCAATGGAATCACATGGGAAGATGTTAATACAACTGATTTGACCAGCCTGGGGTCCAGCCTGGGCATTGGGCATTTCAGAAGCTCCCTGGATGATTCCACTGCACCAGCTGGTCCACCATCCTGGACACTGTCCACCAGGGTGTCTGTCAGGACACAGATTAGATTTCTATTTCACAGAGCCGAGATGGAGATACACACTGTTAGACCTACCTGAGGGTTCCAGGGCCACGTCTGACGCCCAGCTTCCAGCATCTGAACACATAGAAAATAAGTAAATATAGAAAAATCTCAATTTTTTGAAAACAATGAAATGGTGGCTTTCTACTGTAGACAGGTCTCCACCAGGCAGGCTTTGCACATGTAAGCAAGCATAAGGACATAGCTTTCTATGGATACACAGCTGCTAAGCTGGGAAGCCCAGGGAGAACAGGACCAGCTAATTTAGTGGCCCTGGTGCATCTGTCTCCAGAACGGTCCAACCCTCAGCTTTTTTTGTCTACCTGGCTGAAAGGGTGTTCATCAGTTGGTCACTGTCCTTAGGTTTCCTGGCTCTGTTCTGTGTGTGTGGCCTTCCTCCATCACTGAGATTCCTTGTACAAAGAACATATAACAGGGGGAGAGGGTACCTGAGCAGACCACACCAGCATCCTCGTGATGGCCACAGTTGTGGTCTGACCAGCCAGAACTGGGACACTGGCCGAGATGGTTCTCACTTCCCGAACATTGGATGTTGTCCAGAAGGATGTCTCCAGAACCTCTACCAAAGTAGGCACTTCCCGGAGCAGCCACGGCCTGTCCACACTCCAGCTGTCTGCACACAACCTCGGCTTCATTCAGGTCCCACAAGTCATCACACACGGTGCCCCAGGTCCCCTGGTGGAGGACTTCCACTCGACCTAAGCAGCGGTTGGAGCTGCCTGCCAGCCGCAGCACAGGTGCATCATCTAAACGGAAGAAGATTTTATTTTCTGGGTCTAGGAAGTTTTACATGAGAAAGGACTTCTGGCTCCTGTGGTATGGCCGTGGCAAACATGAGGGTAAAAATCTCAAAGGTGTATTGATGCCAAAGTGCGGTTAAGGGCTTCATAGTGAGATAGAACTGGGTTTGAATCCAAGCTCTACCGCTCTTCAGTTGTGTGGCCTTTGAAAAGTTATTTTTGTCTCCATGGGCCTCAGTTTTCTCATCTGTATGAATGATGAAGGAACCCAGCAGCATTTATCTCAGAAGAGTGAGTCAGTGAGTGTTCTGTGCATGAAGCACCTGGCTTGTCGTGGTTAATGTAGCCCTTGCTGCGTGGTTGTCTGGAGTGAAATTCTGGTAATTGGAGAAGCTCCCAGCTCCTCTTTTTTTTTTTTTTCAAATGTGTCTTAGCAGAGTTCCGATTTGATTATTTAAAAGGCACTGCAGCACCAAGGTGACTTCAACTTCATAGAGGCCAGAGATGCTATTTCTGGGCTAATGGGCTGTGGTCAACTGGAATTACAAGATGTACCTTGGAGACACCCCAAGGATGGCCTCCCCTTGCTATGCCCGCAGGGGTTGATATGCTTCCCTTCTTTCTGCTGCTCCAGTAGGTCCAGCTCTCCTCCAGAAGCCTTTGTGTGTGATATTTCCCATCTGGTGAGCCCCAGACAGGGACCTCCTCATATAGGCCATCCAATGCGCCCAGCCCACAGCAGCATCTCCAACCAGATACATTCTACTGCACCATCTCCCTTTTGGTCCCCAGGCTTCACTTTTACTCTTTATCACCCTTACCCACAAACCATCTTGCTTAGCTGTCTGTTTCCAGTGTGATGGCCAATCCCGCCTTACTTACCCACATCTACACTAGAATATATTGCTGGGAGCTGTGTGGCTCTCTGGGCTTTCTTGCCCTTACAAGTGAGTCCGTCACATAGTACACCTGCTTAAAGATTACTGGACAAGTAAATAGTAGTCTTGAGCCACTGAGAGGTGCTTTAAAATTCAATCCTAGAGCTCTGCTATGGGAAGTCCCTCAAGTTAGAAATGCTTCTGTCCTTAGATATCAAGAGCTGCAGGAGGAGTCCCACCTGACTTGCTTTCACCCTGCGGAACTGCATTGAACAAAGCTTGAAAGCCAGTGTTGGTGATCATGGAGTCACTCTGGAACACCAGTGTGAGGATGTCGGAGGAGGAGAAAAACATCACGGCTACTGGAGCGCAGAGCTTCCCCATGGACAGCGAAGCAATCCTGGGGCCATCGAAGATCTCCACCGAGTCGTAGGGACATCCAAGGACATCCTCTAGCCTGGGGGAGTAGAAGTCGAGGGTTAGTGACAGGTTAGAAAGTTCCAGGATATTAATGCTTAAACAGGTGATAATCCAGAGTGCAAATATTTGGATTATAGTTTAAACAGCACAGTCAATATTTATTAACTTCTCAGATGCTTTATAAGAATTCTGTATTTTTTTTTCCTGAGGAATGTGTGAAGTTTATGGTGACAACTTTGTAACAAGTTTTAAAATCATAATGGTGTTGGCTGGTTACAAACTATATAGGACATTAATAAATACTAATTTATACTTGAACTAAATTCTTACTAGATCACGCCAGTGTTTAGCACGTAACAGATATCACAGTCAGATTTTCCTACTTACATATTTCATAGTAGTTTCCATATCCAAATTCTTGAGAAGAAAAAAGATTTTAAAATGCAAAGAGTTGCAGTGTTAGAAATTACTTGCATTATAGATTTGTCAATGTGTTCAGGATTTTTTTTTTTAATTAAACAAGACAGTTTATTTGAAGGTGAGAAGAAGGGGAAAAAGAGATGGCAGACAGGTATTTTGATAAGTAGGGAGTATTTGAAAGGGAAATATTTCTCAGGAGTAATTTTGAGCGAACAGACAACTAATACTAACATGATAGACTTGGAAAGCATGGGTAGCTGAATTGGAGGTTGACAGGGTCCCTACGGTTTTAGTTAAAAAAAAAAAAAGACAGCATGATAACATGGCTTAAAGCCTTCGATTGGGAGGAGATAGGAATGTCTGAATCCATGCCCTCAGTATACTTATGACTCAGCGCCTGGCAGAGGCTAAATTATTATGGAATTCCGTAGTCTTGCTGTATGTAGAACATGATGTACGTCACATGCAAGATAGACTTTGAGTCAACTGCCCACAGAAGCACATCCTGGTGAAGAGGTGGGACTCTGACCTCAGACAGACTGTGTCAGTTAATCTTTACCATTAACTAGGTTGGATTAAGGGATCCTGCATTGATGATGGGGGCACTGTGCTCCTCAGTGGATTAATCCATTGATTTCACAGCTGAACGTGCTGTCAGGAGGTGTGGCCTCTTGGAGGAGGTGGGTCACTAAGAATGTGTCTTTGGCGGGTATATCTCCTGCTGGTGCTCTTCCCTGGCTGCTATATATGAGAAGCTTTTCTCCACAATATCCTTCCACCATGATATTTCTGACTTAAAGCCTGCCATCCACGGACTAGACCTCTGACACCATGAGCCAAAATGAACCTTTTCCCCTTTAAATTTCAGATGTTAGGGGCCAGGAAGATAGCTCAGTAGAATAAGTGCTTGCCTGCCAAGTGCAAGGACCTGTGTTCAATCCCCAATTCCACCAAAATAAATAAAAATAAATTTCAGATGTCAGGTATTTTGTACCAGACGCAGGAAAGCTGACTTGTATACAGGCCTACATGGGTGAGTTAGTTATCTTATCTGAATCTCAGTTTCCTCATCTTTATTAGGGATGATGAAGGACTTCTAATGACCCTGGAATATAGCAAAGCACAAAAGCATATCCTACTGAGCCTGGGTAAAATTTTGGTACTCTAAAATGTGAACTGCTTTTTTATCTCATGAAGATAAAAATTGGCAGTAACTTTGGGCCATCTATTCTCATGTCAGAGGTGAAGCTCTGACAGCTCTGATCCCTCACTGCAGAACATTTCTTAGCTGCGCAGCTCATGGCTGTTATAGTTGGCTCATGTGTGCATACATCTCCTACTGTAGACCTCTCTACAGTAGGGGCATCCTGTAGATCTCTCAAATCAATTTTAGATTAAAAGAGAGAGTCAAAGAAGACAAATACAGGTACCTAGTACTGCTACAGAGGAAAAAATGTTAAGCACTTTTAAGAAAAAATAAAAAGGAAAACTCTCAAGTTAGGTTAAATCAAAGACATGAAACTCTTTGCTGAGTTTTTCAGGCTAGAAATGACTCACTGGATAGCACTACAAAATCAACCTGCATGTTGACTATAAAAGACTATAGATTTGTGATCTTTCACCCTGAAGTATTTCCCACTAGAAAAAAATCTTTGTTATGATTTCATATGCCAATGTTCTTATTTAGGCAAAATCTTCCCCTTAAACGTTGTCTTCTTACTTCAAACTTGGAATCATGAGTTCTATGCGGAAGGTTTTATCCACATGAATCTCCCAAATACATTGGATGTCTGTTGGATAGTTTTCGGGATATTGTGGACTAGAAAATGAGCCAGAAAGACTAGAAATGACCCCTCCACAAGAATTACTTCCTCCTGAAAAGACAGAAAAATGATGTCAGGATATGGTCACATGATGCCCAGTTCATACTCAGTGGTCAAGTGGACTTGGGGCATTCTGTAGATCTCTCATTGGTCACATTTGCAAGTAACAATAATTAGGCTGGGTCAACCTGACCCTGAAGCTCCTGGGAGTTGTATTTCCTATAATTACTACAGGTGTACAGCAGGAGATGATGGACAGCCTGCTGTAGTACTAGGTGAGGATGAGTTGGATGGACAGATGAGCCATATTCTCCCCTCTCTTGTCACCCTCCTGCCTACTCTGCTTGGTTGAATCATAGCCCTTCTTTCTAACCTGTTCCTTGTTAAGAAGACAGCATTTATAGAAGGCCAATGGAGGAGTAGGTCACTTGTCCACACTGGGATACTGTGTCCTTTGTGCCAGGTCCCTGACACACTAATATCTGCTCAGAGCCTCTCTTGACATTAAGTTACCATTTCAAACTTAAACAAGGTACTACCTGATTTATGGAGCTGAGAAGTTGTAGGAAGACCTGAAAGGGATAAAGGGAAATAATGACATACAGGAAAAAAAAATCTTATCTATAAATTACTAAAGTGTGAAGATTCCTTAGAAACATCAATAAATTTCTTGCAAAGTGAAAAGACTCTGAAGGTGCTGAGTGAATATTTTCTACGGCTCTGTTATGTATTAAAGCAAGCCTTAAATTCCCTGGCCTGCCTTCTGTCATGGACTGGGGTCTCAATTCCCTCTCTTGGACTTGGTGGGGCTCTGTGACTATTAACAACGGAATGAGCCAGAAGTTGTGCTGTGCCTTAAGGGACCTGTGGTTTCCATTTCTTGTCTCTGAGCACACTGGCTCATAGATAATACCTTAGGCTGCCCTAGGGACCACCTGGAAAGAAGAGTGCCCTACTGTCCAGGGGTCTGCACCCAGGAGCCAAATGTCAGTGAGACTACTTTGAACTTTTCAGACCAGCCACCCAGTGGACACCATTTGGATCATTGTACTTATTTTTACTAGTCTAGTGAAAGGAACAGTTAATGGTTAATTTTTTTTCAACCAATTTTGCATGTCTACATCTGGCAATCCGAACAACCAATTTGAAGACAATGATATACAATGGAACAACCATTGTTGAATTCTTATCATCTTGTTTGGTGAAATTGTATATCATTTCTAATGTTTTTTTTGTTTTGTTTTCTATTAAAAAAATAAAAAGAAAGAAAGAAGGAGAATCTCCCAGATGAGCCCTGCCTAAATTCTCAACCCACATAACATGGCCTGTGTCTAAAGGGTGGTTGTCTTAAGTCACTGAGTTTTGGGGTAGCAGATAATCAAAACAGCTTCTTCCACTCAATGATATTTTCTTCACTTGTCTTAGTCTTTGTGAATCCCAGCCAATGAACCGGATGGTTAATGAACTTGGTAGTCAAGCACATCACCAGTTTGGGTTCAGATCAACTGGCTATATTGGCTCCTCCTTCTCTTCCTCCTCCTTCTTTTTCCCCTTGAGACAGAGTCTTGCTGTGTAGTTTAGGCTGGACTCGAGGTCACTATGTAGGCTAAACTGACCTTGAACTTTCCATGATCCTCCTGCCTCAGCCTCCCAAATGCTGGGATTACAGCAATGTGCCACCATGCCTGGCTATCCTTTGGTACTTTTCTAGCTTTCTAAGTCTCAATTTATCTGGAAAATGTGAATAATCAGTGCACTTCTTATAAAGGATTATTGCAGCAATTAAATGAATTACTGATGGTTCCTCACTGATTAGAGATTTAACTAATGAGTTTTCAACTTTATAATAGCATGAGTGAATATTCATTCAGCAGAAGCCATATTTCAAATTCTGAATTTGAATTTTTTCCTAGGCTAATGATATGTAGAATGCTGTTCTTTTGAGAGGCTGGGTGCTGGCAGTGACCCACAGGCCCCATGAGCCAGACTTTAACAAAGGTGACACTCCACAGTGTGCTGGGTTGCTAAGGTATGAAGTTCCTTAGGTCAGGCATGCAAAATAATTTTTTACTTATAATATTTTAACTTGCAGAACATTAATGGGAAAGCAATTTAAGTATAATTTGAGAAACAGCAGTTTATATGTAAATATCTTAAGGTAATGCCTTTCACTTAGTATTTATACACATTTACTGCTCTTGTTGCTATTGTTGTTGGAAAGTTGCTCGAACTAGAAAAATTGGACATACCTGGAGGTGTCGGTAGAGACATGTCTTCAGCATCTGCATACACAAAGGAGGGTAACAGGTCACTCTCTTTAAGTACAATTTATGGAAGAGGTGAGGTGACAAGGGCCCCAGAGGGAGATGAAGGAGAGAGGACCTTGACCTCTCTGGGTAGAGAAGCCCAAAGCACCAGAACCACCCCACTGGGCACCTTCCACTCTCCTCTGACAGAGACCTTAATCTATGGATCTGGGACACAGCAGCTAGTCAACTCTACTCCTGACATCCAGGGCACGATCACTTGTGGCTGCTCCTATGTGAAATCCCTGGGCTATTTGTCAACATTGAGTCCCATGAGCCCCTTTCCAAATGTACTTAATCACTGTCTGTGGGGCCTTGGCCCTGGAATCTGCATTGCAATGTCCTAGGTACACTCCTGCTCATGGGCATCGAGACCTCCTCTATGCAAACCCAGAGCTGCCCATGCAGGGTATGTGTTTGGGCCCAGCGCCTGGCCCTGAAGAGACACTTAGGGAATGAGTGGATGGAAAGTTTCACCCAGGAAAGAGTTCCAAATAATTTTAAATCCTAAGGGTAGAACGCTTTGGGGAAAACAAAGTGGATACCTGAGCAGATGACACCGGCATCCTCATGGTGGCCGCAGTTGTGCTCTGACCAGCCCAGGTGGGCACACTGGCCCAGGAAGTGCTCCATCCCAGAGCACTGCAGGTTATCCAGGAGGATGCTTCCTGTGCCGGCACCAAAGTGGGCCTCACCGGGGCTTGAAACAGCTTGACCACATCCCAGCTGCCTGCATACAACTTTGGCTTCATTGAGGTCCCACAAGTCGTCACACACGGTGCCCCAGACTCCCTGGTGGAGGACTTCCACACGACCTGAGCACTGACCAGAGCCCCCTACCAGCCGCAGCTTTGGCCAGTTCCCTGCAGAGAGAGGTGGTGTGTGAGGCCCCCAAAGGTCTACAGGGGAGTCTAGCAGCACAAGGCTCCAACAGGGGCTAGGAAAGGACATCCTCAACCTTGAGCCTGCAGGCTTCTTCTTCACATTCCTCAGGGGCTTGTGAGTTTCCAAGTGTGAGGTCTGTAGCGAATTTAACTTCACTTCAACAGTGCGTAATATCTTCCATATCAGGTGCTGATAATTCTGCCATAAGCCAAAGCCATATTGTTTCTGTGCTCAGAGAGCCCAGAGTCTATTTTTCTAGTGATATGTAGGTACCAGTATGGTACACTACTCCACACTACGGTCAGTGGATTGAGAGGGAGTTAGTCAAGGGACAAGCAGGGGACAGTCCTTGAGCTAAAGGGAAGATGTGCAAAGAGACTATGAACTTCCTTGGCTTTTGAGACAGGGTCCCACTAGGTAGTTCAGACTGGCCTTGAACTCTGTGATCTACTGCCTCAGTCTCCCAAGTGCTGAGATTACAAGGGTGCATCCCACGCTAACCGTTTTTCATGTGCCTCTGAAAACACACACATGCTTGTGCGTGTGCACACATGCAAACACAACATCGCGGCTCATGAAAAAAATCAAAATTAATGGCACTCAGACTAAAGGCAACTTAATGGTGTGTAGATCTCTGTAGTTTGGAAAGACATGAACAGTGAATGCAGAGCTGGAGGAACACAAGGTTTTAGGATAAAGTCAAGTCCAAGTAATATTTAATTCCCACCAAAAGGCATGACTAACCTGGCTTGTTAGACTGAGATTCATCAGCATCTATAAATGGGGAAAATAAACATGTCAGTGTTTTCCAGAAATCCAGATTTTTAACAACCTAATGATGAAGTTGTTTTTTTTTTTTTTTTTTTTTTTTTTTTTTTTTTGCAGAACCAGGGATTGAACTCAGGCCCTTGCACTTGCCAGGGAAGCGTTTATTCTACTGAGTCATCTCCCCAGCCCCTGAAGTTTTAATTATATTCTTATTCATGTTTGTTAATCCAAGATGGGAAACATTAATCCCTTTAAATCTATAGTACTGAGAAAAGCAGCTTCATCTATGAAAACAAAAGTAAGCTTTCTTCTGGGAGTTGGTTTGCTATTTTATGATAAAAGGCAGATGTAAAGGGATGTATTTGGGGTGGTCTGACTTGCACTACTGATTTTATAGCAGACCAATTCCACTTTGGGGGCTGTTGGGGGACCTCAGATTAGACTAACACCTTCTAGAACACTGAAACTTGGAAATAACTTGTGCCAGTGTGTCTCTAAGTAGGTTATAGGGGCCGCACCAATAAGGTGTCACAAGCCGACAGACACATATACCAACACGACAATGATATTTTAAAATATACACCTCAAATTAAAACCCACCAGCAGCAATGCCACTGCTGCCCACACAGGCAGCTCTAGGCAGTGAATACTACTTTCAAGTCACAGTCAGGCTTGGGGTACCAGAAAGCACCTCATTATCAGAGTGGGCTCTCCGGCCAGCATTCCAGAGCTAACTTATTCTTAGCTGTTTGCACACGAGTAAATACAGGTATTTTAAGAACTGCTGCAATGCAACTAAAATCAGGTAGCCGTACTCACAAATTTCCCTAGCGTTATGACAATTTAGGAGTGGTCAACCAGGGAGCCTCTTGGTCAGTTACTATGCGAGTGCATTGTGAAGTCCATCTCTGCTCCTCGTGTCAATCCCATGGGGGCGGCACATAGTACCCTAACTTTGTAGACGCAGGCTGAGCCTCTGAGTGCTTCAGTGCTGTCCCGGCAGCATGAGCATTAGCATCGGCTCTGAAGTCTCACCCAGCATTACAGCATCAAGCTACGTCTTTCCGTGAACACCTTTCTCCCAGAGTTCCCTCAACTAAAAATGTGCTTTGCATGTGTAAGTAAAGCACACACAATTCTTCCTGCCAGATGAGAAAATTAGCAGGTTTTATTCTGGAGGTCAGTAGTAAACCATATCTACTGAACCAAGTTGGAAGAGGTACAGCAAAGCTGAATGCTACAGGTTTGAGGAAACTGTTTCTGTCCCTGGTTAGCTCCGAAGGCCAGCAGGATGGTCTTGGAGCACTCTGGCCCTGTCAGTGCCCATGTGAGAGGGGAGAACATACCTGAGCAGATGACACTCGCATCCTCGTGGTGACCACAGTTGTGCTCCGACCAGCCCGAGTGGGCGCACTGGCCCAGGAAGCGCTCCACTCCAGCGCACTGGAGGTTGTCCAGGAGGATTTCCCCTAGCCCTGGGCCAAAGTGGGCCTTCCCAAGGGCAGAGATGGCCCGGCCACACCTCAGCTGTCTGCACACGACCTCAGCTTCATTCAGGTCCCACAGGTCGTCGCACACGGTCCCCCAGGCCCCCTGGTGGAGGACCTCCACACGTCCTGAGCACCGACTGGAACCATCCATCAGCCGCAACTCTGGCCAGCCTTCTGCAGATGGAAACCTGGTGACGGTCCTCTGGGAGCATGGTACCCCTCCAGGAGACACTTGTGCGCCCCACCCCACACTACTGTTAGAGACAGAGAACCTCATGGAGTCAATCAATAGTCAACCATCAGTTAGAGTTCTATATTATTAGGCTTGTCAATAACATTTAGCTTAAACAAATCCATCAACTGACTATCTATCTTGGTAGAGATATATGGCAGCAGTCTGTTTCGGGTAAATGTAGGAAAATACTTTATATAATTTGCATGGTGATTCATGATTTTTTGGAAACATTTTCACATGTGTACACCACATTCATTTTTGTAACACTGGAGGATAAACAGAAGAGTATGCCGTTTTTATCTATGAGGAAATTGGAAGTTGGAAAAGCAAGAAGATTCAATGCAAATCCTGCATCTAGTAAGTAGCAGATCTATACTCAGGTCTGACTTCAAACTTCACTGTTTTGTGTCTGGTATTCAACCTCACTGCCTCTGGGATGGTTCTGATGCTCCATCCATTTGGAAAAATCATTTGGATTTTGATAAGGCCATCCACAGATGGTATAGGTTGGAAGCTAACTATGAACAGGGCTAGCACAGGAATAAAAGAGAATCTCCTACTGCAAGGTACTTGTAAGTTGCTCAATCCCTGAAAAGTGAACTTCAGGGCTGGCCAGATAGCTCAGCAGACTAAAGTGAGTGCTTAGGCACAGTGTAGTGGCTGGGGTTTGATCCCCAGCATGATGTGCTGGCCCTGCCCCCAGAGCACACCAAGATGTCGATTGAGACTGAGAGTGGTGGCATGCACCTGTAATCCCAGCACTTGGGAGGCTGAAAACAGGAGAATCACTACAAGTCAGATCTGTGTAGTGAGATCCTGTAGGCTCTGTAGACCCTGTACTAAATTTAAAAAAGAAAAAGAAAAGTGAATTTTGATCACCTTGGGATGCAGAGTCAGAAGATTCTCAAAATTTTAATTGGCCCTAAAATCTTGAGTAGAGTTACCAGGCCCATTTACTTATAGAAGATCTATTTGCAGTTGATATAGTTTTCTCATAAGCAGCTAGTACAAATGGAGATATTGAGAGGCAAGGACACCACGTAAATGAACAAATTTCCAGGGCTTACCTGGCTTGGCAATCAATGTCTTGGGAGTTGTTGGGATGGTTGTTGTTACTGGTGTAGGTGTTGTGATGGCTGTTGTTGTTGAGATGATTGTTGGTGTTTGGATGGTTGTTGATATTGGTGTAGTTGTTGTGACAGCTGTTGTTTTTGCAATGGTTGTGGGTGTTGGGATAGTTGTTGCTGTTAGGGTGGCTGTTGTTGTTGAGATGGCTGATGTTGGGGTAGCTGTTGCTGTTGGAATGGTTGTTGTGGTGGTAGCTATTGTTTGGGTGGCTGCTGCTGTTGAGATGGCTGTTGTTCTTGGGGTAGCTGTTGTTGGGATGGCTGTTGTTGTTGAGGTAGTTGTTACTGTTGTGGTAGCTGTTGTCGAGATGGTTGTTGTTGTTGGGTTAGTTATTGCTGTTGGGGTTGTTGTTGTTGGGGCAGCTATTGTTGGGATGGCTGTTGCTATTGAGATAGCTGTTGTTGTTGTGGTAGTTATTGCTGTTGTTGGGATGGCTGTTGTTGAGATGGCTGTTGTTGAGGTAGTTGTTGCTGTTGTGGTACCTGTTGTTGAGATGGTTGTTTTTGGTGGGTCAGTTATTGCTGTTGGGGTTGTTGTTGTTGGGGCAGCTATTGTTGGGATGGCTGTTGCTATTGAGATGGATGTTGTTGCAGTAGTTGTTGCTGTTGTTGTTGGGATGGCTGTTGCCACTGGGATAGCTGTGGATACAAGAAGACATCCTTGAATAAAAAAGGAGGACTTGGGCAAATCAGGAGGACACATTCCAAGATCAGTGTCCATTAAATGCCCAGATTCTGGGTGGTTTTCTGCTCTCTCATCAGTATGAGAAGTGATCTTCCCAAACTCTTTTCATGTGGATCTTGTGCTTCTCAAGTGTATGGGATCCAACTCGGATGACTTTCTCTACTTCTGCTGCATCATTACAAATTTAATGTTTAAATTGTGCTAAAATGTAGACATTTGCAGTCAGCATTGTGCTGGGCAAAACAGTAATTTCTCTTACTTGCTTCTACTCTGTTAGCTTTTCCTAGATGTGGAGTGTCTAAGTGTGCCTCATGGTCATTGATAGGAACAAGAAATTAGGGGATCAAATAAAAATTGCCAATATACAGTGACCCAACTGTTGCTAGGTGTATCTTGGTTCCCATGTGAATGAGTGTCATACTTGTACAAAAACCACTCAGATATAATTTTCAGCTACAGTAGATTTATACATGTAATTAGAAAAGACATGTGAGAGAGATCCAATAATGGTAAAAGCACTAGAAGTGAGGATAGATATCAAAACAGAAAATGGAACACATATTAAGCAACAACATGAATGCCAACTCACTGACTAGATGTGGGGTCTTCGACACTGCCTCTGCAAACACAAGAAAATAATTGTCAATAGCTATTTAACACCAATTATATTGATTTTTCCTTGTTTTCCTGATCCTCTCTGTAACACAGTGTCTCCTCTGGTTTTTACTTACTCAGTATTTGTGCGTGTGTGTGTGGTACTAAGGACTGATCTCAGGTTTTGCACTGAGCTACATCCCCAGCCCTTTGTTATTTTTTATTCTGAGTCAGGGTCTCACTACTTTGACCAGGATGGACTCAAACTTCTGATCCTTTTCCTTGGCCTCCCAGAGTGCAGGAGTTATAGACATGCACTTCCATTCCCGGCTCTCCTCTGTTTTATAACATGTGTCCCCAGCTTGCTTGGTGAGTCACCTTGACACTTTCTAAGGCACTGGAGTCAGTTTGACAGGCATCTTCATGAGGCAGACTTGAGGCCTTTGCAGTTTCTATTGGTGGCAGGTAGTGTAGAAACTCACTACTTACTTATTCGGGTGATTACTAAATATTCCAAGCCTCAGTTTCCCCATCTGTCAAAGGGGAATGACCATTGATTTATGTCATAGTAACACATCCAAGGACCTTAAAATGCTGCCTGGCATATAACAGACTTTCAAAAATATTACCTGTTATTTTCTGTATTCTGATCATTGCTATTATTGTTGCTAATGTGGGCAGGTACCTGGTGCTTCAAAGAAAACCCTTAGCTTTGTTCTGTCTGTCTTCCTGGCACATACCCAGTACTTCCCACCTCAAGGCCCATTCTGTTCTTTCTCTTGATTGCCCTTTCTCTATGTATGGCCTCACCAAGTCCAAGTCTAACTTTTCCTGAGGTTTTCTTTGATCTATGCAGCCTGTGTTGCTCTCTCTCTCTCTCTCTCTCTCTCTCTCTCTCTCTCTCTCTCCCCCCTGATGCCTTTGCTGAGATGTGTGCATGTTTCAACTTAATATACTCGGTATGTTCTATTGTATGCCTTAACCCATTGTATTGTTTTGTCCTCTATTGCATCGTGTATATTTGTCTTCCACTTCCTCTAGGCTGTACATAAATGTCCCTTAGCCTGGGTCTGCACTTCCTCTTTGGCAGATCCTCAAATGCCCAGTGTAGATTCACAGAAACATCAGAAATGGCTTCCTCATGAACTGACTGCAATGAGATATGTGTGTAAAACTGGAAAGCTCACAGTAAAGTTGCCAGTTATCAAGCACCTGGATGCGTTCAAGTGCACGTCTTGCTGTGTCATTCATGTAAACCCCACATCAAACCTAGGAAGTAAGATTTTCCTGGCTTCCTCACATATGTGTTATGGTTTGTGTCTAGTTGTTCCCCCCAAAGCCTCATGCAGTCATGAGGCAGCTTCTGGAGTTTGCGATTGATTCCTGATCCAGTGCTGGGATAACGGGTGTGAGTGCCCTGCATTACAGTGTTCTTCATGGCCTTGGACCTGGTGAAGCCATATGGAGAGAAAGGGCAATCAGGATAGAGTGCAAGGAGGGGAGAGAGGCTGGCTAGCTGCCTGAGCTGCTGTCACTCCTTTTGCTCTCTGCTTCTTGTTGCCATCATGAACAGTTGCTCTCTGCCATGTGCCACTCTGCCTTGGAGCCAGCTGAGTATGCACTGAACCTCTACTAACTGTGAGCTAAACAAAGCTTTCCTTTCTTCATTTTGGGACTCAGCAATAAGAGAACAGTAAGATAATAGGGAAGGAACTGAAGCCAGAAGAGGTCAAGTCCCTTGTCCAAGATCACTGAGCGAGTTATGGTATCCAGGCAGACAGTCCGGAGCTGTGGTTCCTCACCATCTTACCTTTGGTCGCAGAATAATAGTAAGCCATGAAGTTTTTCCCTATGTTATTGAACCCTCGGAAGTACAAGAGGGTCATGGAGCTGGAGGAGGACGAATAGGTGAGGTAGAAACCAGTGCAGGTCTTCCCCAGAGACTTTGCTGAAGATGGAGGACCATCCAGGATTTCAAAATATTCATTGGTGCAGTCAAGGCTAAAGAAACAAATACCCAAGAGTGCTTAGTCTCCTGTAGTACTCCTATATCAGTAGATATAGCAGGCATGCTGCAAGACACGTCCTATTTTGTGACTCTAAAGAAGTTGGGGACAGCTTCAAAGCCAATCAGGGATACAGATACTTTTGTCCTACTTCTTTCCTCAGAGAGCCACTGCCTAAAAGAACAGCATGTTCCCTGGGAGAGGAGAGAGGAGGCTGGCTCCAGGCACAGCCCTGTTGAGGTCTCAGGGTGGCTGAGGCTGCAGGGTGCCTCACAACCTTGGGCTAATGCCAGGGCCAGGATAATTAAGGTCCTTAACCACAGGGTGACCTGGGGGTGAAGAGCCACCTGAGCCTGGCAGCAGAGGTGAGGGGCAGGCTGCTCAGCCTCTTGTGGGACACAGCTCCAGGTTGCAAACAGCCCATGGACAGGCTTTTGGCAGTAACCTGCCTACCATGAAGTGAGTAATGCTGCTCCCCAACTCCTATTGTGAAAGTTATCTGGTATTTTGCCATTGTTTCTCTCCTTGAATTTTTTAAAAATATATTTAGTACAGGGTCTACAGGGTCTCACCACACAGATTGAACTCCTAGTGATTATCCTGTTTTCAGCCTCGGATGCCACCACACCCAGTCTCAATCACTGTCTCAGCATACCCGGGGGGGGGGGGGACACAGCAAGCTGGGGATCGAACCCCGGCCACTGTGCTGTGCCTAAGCAGGTGCTTTAGTCCGCTGAGCTATCTGGCCGGCCCTTCTTGAATTTTTGTCTGATGCCATTAGCACTGGAATCAGAAACTCTCCAATCACAACTCTATGAGTCATCCTTCCAAGCTATTTTCGATTAAGCAAAATTCAAAAGTAGAAGCAATTTGATTTGCTGCTTGTGGTTAATTTACATAGGTCATTCGTCTATGAATGAAATAAATATTGTATAGCTATATAATATAAAACCTTAAATTTCCTGACTTAATAGGTTTTGGGGATACCCTAGAATCAACATCTTTAACCAGCTGGCCAGAACACACTTGGGCTATATCTCTGTTTCTGTCTCTTTCTCCTTACACACACACACACACACACACACACACACACACACACCCCTACTCAAAGCCTATAAGGTGAATTTCATTTTAATTTAAAATTCATGGAAATATATAAAAATAAATCATTCTATATAGGAACAACAAACATGTAGAAATTGAAACTGAAAGCATTTATCATTTCTTGTTATTCCAATAACAATAAAGGAATACGTACACATAAATCTAATGAAATATATACAGGATTTGTATAAGACAGCTCACAGAAAAAATAATGCAGATCCTAGTAGGATGTAGAGAAACTGGGTCTCATATGCTGCTGGTAGAAATGGGAATTTAGAAGTCCCTATGAAAATAGTTCAGCATGTTCTTAAAAAGCTAAATGTGTTCTTACCATACAACTAGGAATCACACTCATGGACATTAATCCCCAAGAAGTGAAAACTTACATTCTCATAAAAGCCTGTATGAGAATGTTTATAGAAGCTTTATGTGGGTCGCCCAAAGCCAGAAACAACCCAGATGTCCATCAGGAAGGAGAGGATTAAATAGACTCTGCTACAGACACACGAGTAGATACTTCTCAGTAGTTAAAAGGACTGAACTATTGATGCATACATTATTTTAAGGAATGTATTTTAAGGAATCATCCTGAGTGTAAGAATTCAATTTCCAAAAGCCACACAGTAAATAAACCCATGTACATAACACTATCAAAACAACAAATGATAGAGACAGAGAACAAATCATAACCTTAGAAGAGAGGGAGGAAGCAGTTGATAAAGACAAGGGGTAAAAGGGTAATTTCTTTAAGGTAATGGAAAAGGTCTGTATCTGGGATATAGTAATGACTACATGAACCTACACATGGGGTGAAGTTACATGGAACCCCACTCCACCTATAGTTCCATTAATACACAGGTCTGCATGTTACTGTTGTATCCTATGTGCTTAGTTATTTCAAAATAAAGATTAAAATACAACAAGGACACTTGTGTATGAGAATCAATAAGAGGATGAAGTGGAATTTTAAACCTCACGGAGTACTCGCTGCCTTCAGTACTTACTTAAGATGTGGAAACGCCAGCAGGATGTGATCAGACGCATTGGCCCTGATCTCCCACACGCAGGTCATGTTGTCATGCATCTCGTTCCTCGGGGGATTCCTAATTGCTCCAGATGAGTTAGTAATAGTTCCGCCACACTGAGATTTTCCTGAATGCAGAGGGATAATTTAGAGTGTCAAATTTTTATATTGTTCAGTTTGATAATTTTGTAATTCGCTCCTTTTTTGTTCTATTTTCACCACTTTTCCAGAAAACAGTTTCACTGGTCATTATTTTGTGGGTATGCTTTGGGCTAAACTAGTCTAAAAAGTCTTGCAAACTTAGGAGATTTGGACATGAACTTCTCTGAAACTTAAAACACCTCTCATGTCTTTTGAGAATTTCACCATTGACATGGGCTTATTAACACTGGCTAGAATCTTTCCACTGGCTAGCCATTGCGGGTCTCGTAATTTCTAAGTTTTTTTTTTTTTTTTTTTGGTTGAGTCACTAGTCGTTGTGAGTAATGACCTGCTTCAGGCTAATTCAGTATAGAACTCTGAGTACAGGATATGGGAAGGCCTCAGCCACCATCCGTTTGTGACTTTTTAAATTTAAATTAAAAAAAAAAAAAAACTATTATTGGGTAGAAAGAATTTGGACTCACCAATTCACCATTCCAATAGCACAAATATTGCTAATTTTTCTGTCCACAAGTCTGTTTGTTTTGTCATCTGTTTGTCTTTGTCCAACATTCAATCTGAATTAAAGGTGATCTCAATAGCTGAGGAAACATCTGTCTTTTCTCCACCAGCTTATCTGGATATCTGGAAAGTGTGCCAACTCTTGATTGGCCCTCACCTTCACATTATGCCTTTTCTCAGAAAGGGCCATCCAGGCTATGCAAACATTTTAGTCTTTTATCTCTAAGTGGTGCTAAGAAAAGTTCAATGGCTTCTAGAAACCCAAAGAACTGGCAGACATATAGAAAATGACAGATGAAAAAGAAAGTCAGGAGAAGGAGACCTAAGGTTGTCAGATTAAAGGATAGAAGAGGAAAATGCCCTCATGATGGAGGCTAAACGATACAATTGCAGCCTTGGGTACCACTTGGCTGCATGACTCTACTCATGGCTGTATAGGCCCCCTATGCTCAAGCAGACCAAGACAGACGGTATTACCTGACTACCTGCATTTTCTTTTTTGACTACCTAGACATGAAATTAGCACCTTACATGAATTTTATTATTGGGTCCTTTTATCCAGAGCACAGTTTAAGAGGGGTGACCTAGACTGACCAGTGGTATTATTTTTTGAAGAATCATTAGGACTTATTTTTTGAAGAAACATTTCAAAGCTTGAACTGTAAGACAATGAGCAGGGAATCTCAGGACATACACAAAGCTCTCACCTGAAACCACTGTTCCTGCCAGGACACCCGGTGGGTAACCTGCCAAAATAAAATGCCATGAGGACTGGCGGCAGACTCTGAGGTCTGCAACCCTGCCCAAACATGTGGAACCTGAGCAGCCTGGAACAAACACACTGCCTCAGCTTCTTGCAGAACTGAGTCAAGTCTCTGGGGAAAAGTCCCACGCCTGAAGAGACATTACTATGCGGAAGTGTTTCACCCTAGACTTTGAGGCATTATTTTTTTGTCATCCATGAAAGTGAGATATCTTTAAGTTGGGGTTTTACAAAACTAAAGACATGAAATTCTAGCTCCTAGAGCCTCTTCCAGTGACCCAAAGGCTGAGAATTATGAGTTTGTGATGTAGGAAGAAGCAGTACTGGTTTATATTCCCCTGAATTGGTGCTGCTCAGAGATTCTGAATCAGGCCCTAAAGATGCGATGGGTCCTATTATAGTTTGCATCTTAAATGTCTCTTAAAATTTCATGCAATGAACGCAACTTAAGACCATAATATTAACTGAAATTAATCAGACACACAGCTTAAATATCACATGGTTTCTTTTATATGAGAAACCCAAAATATAAGTAAATTAAAGGATAGTAGGAAACAGGGAGCTAGATCTTTTGCAGGTAGGATAGGGACCAAGAGATGGAAGAAGCTGGAAGAAAAGAGAAGGAAAGAGGACACAAACGTTAAGATGTGTTATGTTTACAGACCCAGTCCGCATAACGAATGTAGTCATTACACACTACACACGTACTAATAAAAAGTAAAAATTTTAAAAAAGTTGAGACATTGAAAGCTTGGTTCCCAACCGACAACACTACTGAGGGGAGGTGGAAACTACAAGGCAAGGTCTACTTGGAGGAAGGAGGTGCCTGGAAGTGAGCCCGTGAGGGGCAGATTTTGCCTCTGGCCCCTCCTCTTTCTTTGTGCTTTCTGGCCACCAGGAGGCCAGCGACTTTCCTCTGCCAGGTTCTCCCACTATTATGTTTCAAGAAGGATTTTTTTTTTTCCTGGCTCAAGCTGTCTTAAGGATGGGTCTGGTAAGGCATGTGGAGTTGAGGATCTAACTGAGGTATGCTGCGCCTGACTGCGTTTGCATAAGCAGGCGCTTAAACAACTGAGCTAACCCACAGGCCCCCTTCTGCCCCAGGCCTAAAGCAAAGGGGCTGGCTGAGCAGACTGAAACCTCTGAAAATGTGAGCTGAAATAAATCTTTCTTCTGAGAGCTGATTTAGGTCAGGTGTTTTGTCATTGCAATGGAAACTCATGCTTCTCCCCACCAGGGACGTTCAGCTTAGCACCTTCTTTTGGAAATTTTCTTCCTGGATCAGTTTGCCTCTGGTTGGTAGAGTGGACAATTCTAGGACTAGATTTAAATAAAGTTTTACCAAACTTTGTCAAAGTAGCTTTAATCATAACTCAGTCAGATACCTCAGTCAGAGAGGGATGACTAAGAGCAGGGTATCATGTGGCCTTGGATGAGGTGCTGGAGAAGAGAGAGACAGAGACACACATGGGTGGGGGAGGGAGGGAGGAAGAGAGGGAGGAAGAGAGGCAGAGAGAGACAGAGAGGGAGATAGAGGGAGGGAGAGAGACAGAAACAGAGTGATAGACAGAGCTGGAGAGACAGAGAGAGGGAGGGAAAGATGGAGGGAGTCAGAGAGAAACAGAGACAGAGACAGATAAAAGGAATGAATGAATGAATGAATGAATGAATGAATGAGAACAGGTATGGGAAGCTTGAGGTTCTGGGACCTGTGTGGGGTCAGGGTTGTACCCACAGCAAGGCAGAAGCAAAGTGGACGTGTAAACAAGAGTGACTCACCTTGCCTTGCCCACATCTGCCCCACTGACCACTTGTACTAGGTAGGAAGCACCTTTAACCATCTCTTATACCACCTCCTCCCATATGTATCAAAATTGTTTTTTCCATGAGCCTCAGAACTGACGAAGTGAAAGTGCTCTGCAGAAGTCTGAGAACCTGAGAGTGCACTTTCTGGGTGTGCCATGCATATTGGCGTAGGTGAAAAGACAGCAAATGAGGCTGGGCTGGGTGACTGCTGTGATGCTAGCCACCTCCCCAGCAGACAGCAGGCCAGTCCACACTTCTCAGCCACGCCCCTGGCCAGGGAGAGACACACGCACACGATTTCCAGGAGAATGTCTTTCAGAGGTGCTGAGAAGCTCCAGCCATGAACACCGCCTTCCTTACCTGATGGTACAGCCACTGAATATTTAGCATCTAGGAACATGAAAGATGAAAACATCCAGTATGAGTGAATAATATACTGGTGCATGTTCAGTAGTTAGTTTGACACCATCTAGGCTCAGGCTGGGAAAGTGGGCAGGACTGACCTGAACAAACCACGCTGGCGTCTTCTGCATGACCGCAGTTGTGGGAGAACCAGCCAGCATGAGAGCATTCCTCGAGGTGCCGCTCGGCCCCACTGCAGCGCACATTGTCCAGGAGAATCTTCCCAGAGCCTTCTCCAAAGTGGGCCTCACCAGGCGCTAAAATGGCCCAGCCGCATCCCAGCTGCCGGCAGACGACGTTTGCTTGTGGAAGGTCCCAGAGGTCATCGCACACGCTCCCCCAGACTCCTTGGTAGAAAAGTTCAACGCGACCTGCACAGCGTTCATCGGTGCCTACCAGCCGCACAGGGACCCAGTCTCCTGGGGGAAGAGCAAGGGGCCAAGGGGTGACAGCGGCCCTCTCTGTGCATTAATAGCTATTGTCCACACACACTCTCTGTCCTTGCACTGCTATGAGGGAGTCGGTGCTGTTCCACACCAGGTCTGCTCTACGGCACTTGTATCTTCCCTACCCATATCCTACTTTAAGGCAGCTTGCCTGTGATGACTGATTTACAGATAGGACCACAGTTCTTCTCTTTCCTGTACCCATACTCTTTACAGTGTGACATCACGGCCCCCCATGGAGAGGCTGGGCTTTTACCCACACTTCTTGGTGCTGGGATGGAAGGAGGCCTTTGGCTTGCCTTGGCCATGAGAGTATGGCACAATACCATCCTGGACAGAGAGGGTGCAGGAGGCTCCTCAGACTGCAGTTCACCCCTGAATGCTCCAGGACATTGTATGCATAGCCTCAAGCCAGCCTGCTGGGTGACAAAGGACATGTAGCTTTCCTACTCTAGCATATCAACTGACAGCTACAGACCTGTCAGAGAAGTGAAAGGGATCAACCTGGGCCAGAGAGTCTCCAGCTGACCTGCTGGCTTGGAGTAGTTCTTAGAATAGTGAATCATGAGGGGGGTAAAAGAGAGACAAAGAGTATGAGAGAATGCCTGCCTGTATGGCTCATACTCCCTTTGTTGGGTTCTCTAAGATTCCCCCGCCATAGACACCTTGAATTAATTTCCCTTGAGCATTTGTGCCATGAAGGCAAATGCTCACCCCCTAAGAAATGCCTCACATTCCCCTTCCTTCTTCCTCATCCCATCTGCTTGAAGTACGCTGCTCCATTGTGCCTACTCTTCTAGATATTTCCATTAGCCATGTTCTATTCCAGTGCTTCTACTCCATGAAACTTTTGTGATCTCAAAAGCCATTTTCCTTTTCTTTTTTATATGTATTTTTATATTAATTTTATTGAGAAAGAAATAGCAATGAGACAGTTTCAAAATGGGTTAGTAGGACAGTTACAATAGTTAATACACTGCATATTGTCCTCGTAATAGTTATTCATAATACAGGATGCAGACATGATATTTTGTCTAAACATTATTAGTTCAAAACTTTCTTCTCATTGAACTAAGAGAAAGTAGCTGTATATCTATGCTATTTTGTATATACAAATATATACATTTTTTTTCACTAAAAAATGGTCCTTCATTTATGTCCCCCCCTTTCTTGTTTACTTTTGTCAGAGATGGGTATTCTATTGCCATCATTTTCTTTTCCAGCTCTTTGTTGTGGTATACCTGGGCCTGGGCACACTGTCGTAGGTAAAGCCAGTGATGCTGTGTCTCATCTCTCCAGCATGTAGCAGGATGCACTGGGAGGTGGAGCACAAAGAGCAGTGGACGTTGGGTCGGGGAGGTTGGGCCTGAAGTCCCGCTTCCCTAACTAGCTATGTGGCCCTGAGCATAGCAGTAAGCACTTCACAAGCTGTCGTGAAGGTAAAGAATGTGAGAGCACTCAGGAGAGGGCGTTTCAGGGCTAGCTTGCTTGGTAGGTGAGTAGGAAAGCAGAGATAGGCTAGGAGCTCACCAGCAGTGGGTAAGATGCATGTGGTCACGACCATTGCAGAAGCACACATAGAGCATTCCCCAGGGGACACAGAAGCGTACAAGTGACAATATGCAGGTACAGGAAAAGTATGAGAGGGCCTCTAGGCTGTGGCACTGACCATTTCTCCCTGTGCTACAGCTTTCCATGTACAAGGCTTGCCTCCCTCGTAAGCTACACACTCCCTGAGAAATGGGACCATGTTTGAGCCATTTATGTGTTGGCTGCTGGCCCTGGTTCAAAGTATATAATAAGCTCAGCACACAAAGTAAAATGTTATTAGGTAAATGAAGAAAACAAAGATGCAGAGTGGGAATTTGGCCAGTTGAAGGTCACAAAGCCAGCGGTGGTGCTTGCCAGGCACCCGCGGCCATGGCCACTGACCAGAAGCTGCAGCACCTGCTGGCGCTATTCCTCCAGATGCATTCTCAGTCCTGGGCAGTGACTTGGCTCCCCTCACCCTCCTTGACAGCAAGGAAATCGGCGAGCCCAACATTTGATTATTGCTTTATCTAGCTTCAGTCTGAACTTATTTTGTGAAAAATCTGAGATCCAACTGAAGTCTGAATGAATACCTTTTGTATGTTACTCATTCCTCACCACAGTAAGAAGCCATTTGAGAGAGCCCAAGTCACCCCACCCTTCACTAACTGCATGGTGATCGACCAGCCCTATGGTCTAACCTGGGAACGAGAAGGATGTCTCCACCCTACAGTTCAGAGGGAGTCTACTGCCTGATTTCTCTTCGTCTGGAACAGTCCCATTGCCCCATCACCCTTCAGACCCTGGATCAGGTCATGTTTCCTCCTGTGTGATTCCTCAGAGCACTCAGCCCCTGCCCTCCCCAGTGCACCACACTGTCATGGTATCCCAGTGGACTCAGCCTACATGAGGACCTGCCTAGTTCATTGCTTTACAGGTTCTCAATGACACATCTTCATTTCTTCATTATCAAAGTTTCTCAGAAGACAATACAAAAGTGACGCAACCCTACCTGATGGTGCAGAAGGTGGTTTTTGAGCCTCTGATGTCACTGATGGCATGGGAAATGGGTTCTCATGGGCTAGTAATAGAAAAAAAAAAAAAGCATTGTCAGCAGGGATGATTCATAGCATTGGAAAAGAGGTACTTGTGTTTCAAGGGGGATCTGCCTCCTGCCAGAATTCAGCAGGAGAAATGACGACACTGCTTTCTAAGGTCATCTTCTCAAGGTCACCATTTAGAGAAGAGCTGGCCTTGCTGCTTATAGATGGACTAACAAATCCTTGTGGCCCCCTAGAGAAAGGAAAACTCACAGGGAACTGGCTCTGCATAATCTGCTTGGTGTGAAGCTTCTCGCCAGCCACCATCACTCTCCCACATACCCTACCGCTATGACCTCATCTGAATAAAGCCAGGAAGGTCACACAGTGCACCTGCAGGGGCGAGGGTGTCAGTTTTGGAATGACCCAAGGAAACCTTGTTGGGTTGACTATGGAGGTGGTCACACGACTGCACAATAGCTAAGGGTCACCAAACTCGTCCCAGGGTGAATTATAGGGCTCACAAAGCAAACCTTTTTTTTTTTTTTTTCCTTTCCTTTTTTTTCTTTTCTTTTCTTTTCTTTTCTTTTCT